ATATCACTGCTGCACACCTTACACAGGTACAGGAGATCAGGATATCATAATGAGCACGTTAGGATATCACTGCTGCACACCTTACACAGGTACAGGAGATCAGGAGATCATTAGGGTATCGCTGCTGCACACCTTACACAGGTACAGGAGATCATAATGAGCTCGTTAGGATATCACTGCTGCACACCTTACACAGGTACAGGAGATCATAATGAGCTTGTTAGGGTATCACTGCTGCACACCTTACACAGGTACAGGAGATCAGGAGATCATAATGAGCTCGTTAGGATATCACTGCTGCACACTTTACACAGGTACAGGAGATCATAATGAGCTTGTTAGGGTATCACTGCTGCACACCTTACACAGGTACAGGAGATCAGGAGATCATAATGAGCACGTTAGGATATCACTGCTGCACACCTTACACAGGTACAGGAGATCAGGAGATCATTAGGGTATCACTGCTGCACACCTTACACAGGTACAGGAGATCAGGAGATCATAATGAGCTTGTTAGGATATCACTGCTGCACACCTTACACAGGTACAGGAGATCATAATGAGCTTGTTAGGGTATCACTGCTGCACACCTTACACAGGTACAGGAGATCAGGAGATCATAATGAGCACGTTAGGGTATCACTGCTGCACACCTTATACAGGTACAGGAGATCAGGAGATCATTAGGGTATCACTGCTGCACACCTTATACAGGTACAGGAGATCAGGAGATCATAATGAGCTCGTTAGGGTATCACTGCTGCACACCTTACACAGGTACAGGAGATCAGGAGATCATAATGAGCTCGTTAGGGTATCACTGCTGCACACCTTACACAGGTACAGGAGATCAGGAGATCATAATGAGCTCGTTAGGGTATCACTGCTGCACACCTTTCACAGGTACAGGAGATCAGGAGATCATAATGAGCTCGTTAGGATATCACTGCTGCACACCTTACACAGGTACAGGAGATCATAATGAGCTCGTTAGGATATCACTGCTGCACACCTTACACAGGTAAAGGAGATCAGGAGATCATAATGAGCTCGTTAAGGTACCGCTGCTGCACACCTTACACAGGTACAGGAGATCATAATGAGCTTGTTAGGGTATCACTGCTGCACAGCTTACACAGGTACAGGGGATCATAATGAGCTCGTTAGGGTATCACTGCTGCACACATTACACAGGTACAGGAGATCATAATGAGCTCGTTAGGGTATCACTGCTGCACACATTACACAGGTACAGGGGATCATAATGAGCTCGTTATGGTATCACTGCTGCACACATTACACAGGTACAGGAGATCATAATGAGCACGTTAGGGTATCGCTGCTGCACACCTTACACAGGGACAGGAGATCAGGAGATCATTAGGGTATCGCTGCTGCACACCTTACACAGGTACAGGAGATCATAATGAGCTCGTTAGGGTATCACTGCTGCACACCTTACTAGGCGTCTAGGCGCAGGTCCTCCATCTGATCTGGATACGGCCCGGATCCGGCTGACTACCTCATGTGTTGTGGTCGTGTCTAGGCGCAGGTCCTCCATCTGATCTGGATACGGCCCGGATCCGGCTGACTACATCATGTGTTGTGAGCGTGTCTAGGTGCAGGTCCTCCATCTGATCTGGACACGGCCCGAATCCGGCTGACTACATCATGCGTTGTGGTCGTGTCTAGGTGCAGGTCCTCCATCTGATCTGGATACGGCCCGGATCCGGCTGACTACATCATGTGTTGTGGTCGTGTCTAGGTGCAGGTCCTCCATCTGATCTGGATACGGCCCGGATCCGGCTGACTACATCATGTGTCGTGGATGGGTCCAGGTGCAGGTCCTCCATCTGATCTGGATACGGCCCGGATCCGGCTGACTACATCATGTGTCGTGGATGGGTCCAGGTGCAGGTCCACCATCTGATCTGGATACGGCCCGGATCCGGCTGACTACATCATGTGTCGTGGATGGGTCCAGGTGGAGGTCCACCATCTGATCTGGATACGGCCCGGATCCGGCTGACTACATCATGCGTCGTAGTCGTGTCCAGGTGCAGGTCCTCCATCTGAACTGGATACGGCCCGGATCCGGCTGACTACATCAGCCGGATCCGGATCTGGATACGGCCCGGATCCATCTGATCTGGATACGGCCCGGATCCGGCTGACTACATCATGCGTTGTGGTCGTGTCTAGGCGCAGGTCCACCATCTGATCTGGATACGGCCCGGATCCGGCTGACTACATCATGCGTTGTGGTCGTGTCCAGGTGCAGGTCCACCATCTGTGTCGTGGTCGTGTCCAGGTGCAGGTCCTCCATCTGATCTGGATACGGCCCGGATCCGGCTGACTACATCATGTGTCGTGGTCGTGTCCAGGTGCAGGTCCTCCATCTGATCTGGATACGGCCCGGATCCGGCTAACTACATCATGTGTTGTGGTCGTGTCTAGGTGCAGGTCCTCCATCTGATCTGGATACGGCCCGGATCCGGCTGACTACATCATGCGTTGTGGTCGTGTCCAGGTGCAGGTCCTCCATCTGATCTGGATACGGCCCGGATCCGGCTGACTACATCATGCGTTGTGGTCGTGTCTAGGCGCAGGTCCACCATCTGATCTGGATACGGCCCGGATCCGGCTGACTACATCATGCGTTGTGGTCGTGTCTAGGCGCAGGTCCACCATCTGATCTGGATACGGCCCGGATCCGGCTGACTACATCATGTGTTGTGGTCGTGTCCAGGTGCAGGTCCTGCATCAGATCTGGAGCGATAATGACGAAACGCAGGTTTATATTCAGGGGGGCGGGACTCCCTGATCGCTGCATTGATTGGTCAGCCACGTTTGGTGTCATCGGTGCTTCTGTGATCGGTCACGCCCAGGCGTTACCTTAGTGAGATACCCAACGAATGTTATAAAGAGAACAGGAACAACCAGAAACCAGCTTAGCATGAGCAGGATGAAGATGATGATGACGATGACGAAGGTAATGATGATGATGATGATGAAGGTAATGGTGATTATGGAGATGATGATGGTGGTGATGATGGTTTTTTCCAGTTCACGAGCAATGCAAGTGATCCCGCCGGCGCCTCCGTGTCCTGATTAATGTCTGCTATATTTGCTTCTTATTTATTAAATCCAGGCAATTGGTTGATGAACAACCACATGATGATACGAAACAAAACTTAATGAAGCAGTCAAAATCATGTCTGACCCATCTTATGATCCTATCTTACTCATGATGTTCACTTTTCATAAAATCAACATAGATGAAATTATAAAATAACATTATATTATGTAAACATAAATATGAAATATGATTTTGAATAAAATCTAGGCTATAACAGTTAACAGTGCACTGGTTATTAAGTGTAAACATGTTGGAAAAGGTGTTCATCTTTCATTCCCAATGTGAGTATCATCATTTTTTATCTTGAAAATTATTTGTCCAGTGTCTGTTGAATGTAAACTCCTCTTAGGAATTTCACCATTAAATGTGAATTTATCTGCGAATATTCTTAAATAAGAAAATCTCCTCAGTGATTGGTCCATGCCTGTCGTCATCCAAAAGCCTGTTCGTGGCGAGTGTCAAGAATCATCTCAAGACTGACACAGATTTAGTGCTGCACTGCACTTACACTCTTCAGAGGCTTGATTAACACAGGCCGTGTTCGTGTGTGTGTTCTTCACATCGCGGAACAACACACTCTATAGGAGCAAACCTGCTAAATCTAGGATTTTTTGTCCTCATGTTTGTGGTCTCTCACATTTTGCCCCCAGCATAAGGGAAACCGATAGAAACATTTGGTAATTTAGTTGTCAGCACAAAATGTAAGATTATTCAGAGACTGGGGTAATAATTCCTCCCTTCTGGTTACACATGTACAGAATACTGTAGAAATAACTTTTGACATTCTTATTAAAAGTGTCATTCATATAAAATAATAAATCAACTATTCTATTTTAAATTGTATTTTGACCATTTAGTTGAACACTTGATTAACCAATGTCAGATAAAGCAGAATCCCAGTAAAAGATTCATCTGAAAAGTTACATTTATTCAATGATTTCTATGAACATTTACATATTTTATAAATTCACACTGGATTACACTCAATAGCGATGACGTCTGAAATGAACATCTAACTCATGGAATTATTCTGCTCGATTCTGGTGGCCCATCTTACCCCAAGGGTCCAATTGTATCTTTTCCCTTCAAAATAAAAACAATATTTTTAGTCCACAAATCCCTCATTAAAACAGAAACCTTTTATATGCAACAAAATACAACGCTGAGACACCGAATCAGACGAGTTTAACCTCTAAACTCTTTTAACGAACTGGATCTTCTGATATTGAAATGAAGAGCGTCTGCGCTGGACTGTATAATCGTCGTCTTCATCATTCATATCGTTTCCCACCAGCTTTTCAAGGACTAAAGTGCCTCTAAAACTCATTTTATGTGAAACAGGGTCATGATATTGTGTGATTATTACAGTCCAGAGGTTCTGAGGCGGTTCTGGAGATCCATGAGCTTACTGACACATTCTGCAGATAAAATTCCTCTTCTTTCAACCTTTTCTAATTCCTGTTGATAACATTGACTTATATGTTTTTTTTATTATTGATAACTATTGAAACAATAATGGCTTCTAATAAATGATTGCTGAAAGCAGATGTTTGTCCCTTATTCACAATAACAGACAGAATCACAGACACTGCGATTCAACTGTGGGTTATTGACAATATTGCAAACTCGTTATCTGTACACACACTGCTTATTCTGTGAGTGTGTTCTGTTCCTCTGGTGATCCTGAGCTGATGTGTGTGTGTGTGTGTCTGTGTGTGTGTTTTCTCCACTCAGGGCTGTTCCAGCATGGAGACAGGACTCGTGAAAGAGCCTCTGCACTTCCCGCAGCGAATGAACTCAAATGTTGCGAGTTTAGGGGAAGTTTTTCTTCAGGATAATGGAGGTTTGCAGAGTTCATGTGAGCAGCAGCAGAGACTCTTATTTTGGCGCGTGTTTGCGCACCGGAAGCGGAAGCGGCTCGCCGACAGGAGTGTTTCCCTGATGCTGCTCCTGTGGTGATGATGATGATGGCGGATTTTGATCAGGTAGATTTTCTGCGCGAGCGGCACGTGCGGTTCTTCCAGCGCTGCATGCACGTGTTGCCCGAGAGATACGCGCCGTACGAGACCAGCAGGTAACACACACACACACACACCAGAGAGGGAGAGAGAGACACTGACCGCGCTTCACACTCTCACACACTCCTCTGACTGTGATGATACTGTATCCGTGTGTGTTTTTCCTGCGTTGAGTTGTAAACTGTCGCAATGAGAGCAAATATAAAAGTGTTTACTGTCACAATCAAATCTTTGTGTTCTTCATTTCATTTTCATCGATCAATAGTTGATCATTATAGATGTATAGTTTATAATGTACAGCCACACTGAAATCACATAATAAACACTAGATGTCATGACTTGGGCTTTCACTGTCCTTGAAGAGAAAGGCAATAATATCTCTGTATTATTTTTACCATTTGGCTTAATGGTAATATTAATAATAATAATAGTACAGTGATAATCAATTTCAAATAAGAAGTGCTGGTTCTCATGCCATGTGAATACAAAATATTATTGTGTATATTTTTAAATGGAGCCCCTTTTGTGAAAGGGAAAGTTCACGCAAAGATGAAGATGATGTCATCGTGGCTGTTCGTCTCCAACATTCTTCAAAATATCTTCTTTTGTGTTCAACAGAATAAAGTCACACAGGTTTGGAACAACATGATGAAATGATGACAACATTTTCATTTTTGGGTGAACTTTCCCTTTAATCCCAATGATGATTATGTACCGGTAGTTATAATTGTACATTATAATATGATGATTGTTGTTCCAGCGGCTGAAGAATGATTGGCATGTTTACTGTAGTGTGGTGTATGATCTGTGTTTGAGCACAGATAGCCTGGACTTCAGCTCCACTGTCACGCAATAAACCCCATTTGAAGAGAAATAACCCTTATTCAGAGTCGTTCCTTGCGTTCTGTTAAAGCTCCTACATCACATGACATTATTCTCTTCCACACTGTTTACTGGAGCGTTTACAACTCATAGAAGTTCATGTAGACAATCAGTGCTGAGCTAAAATTAATATTATTAATGTGTCGATTATGTTACATTGTGTTTTTATCTATTCTCTGTAGGACTTTGTTTTATTTAAATCAAAATGTACTTATTTATATTTTACAAATATTTAGTCACATTTTTTTTAGTTATTAGTTAAATCTTTTATATTTATTCATTTGTATATTTTTTCCAACTTTTCCTCGGTCAGTGTTTTCTCTTATTATCATGAGTCTGTGTTTATTTACAGCGCTGATGATTGACAGAAGGACTGAACACACTCTTCCTCCCGCAGTGTTCGTAGTGTGTGTGTGTGTTTATAGTGTGTGTGTGTTTCCGCACAGGTTGACTATAGTGTTCTTCGCTCTGTCGGGTCTCGATGTTCTCGATGCCTTGGATGTCGTGGATAAACCCGGACTGATCGAGTGGATTTATTCTCTGCAGGTTCTTCCCACCGATGACAGTAAGATCTAGATCTCTCACACACACACACACGCACGCTCTCACTCACACACTCATACACACACTTTCTCTCTTTCTCTCTCTTTGATGTTCTCCATCATATATTAGAGGCTCGTCTCGTTTCCTCTTTAAAACAGTGTCAGTAAGTTGTGTATTATTTGTCGTCACGTGTGTTTTCTCTCCAGAGTCTAATCTCAGACGCTGTGGCTTCCGCGGCTCCTCACACATCGGCGTTCCCTACAACACTTCAAAGGTACCGGCTGCTGTTCCACACACACACACACACACACACACACACACAGAAGGGGGCAGAACTGAGCAGAGACTGAACCACAGAGCGAACACACACACACCCTCTCTCTATATATATATATATCTCACTCACACACACACACACACTCTTTCTCTCTCTCATATATATCTCTATCTCTCACTCACTCACTCACTCACTCACACACATTAACCCGACCCCTAAACCTACCCATCACACACACACACACACACACACACACACACACACACACACACACACACACACACACACACACACACACACACACACACACACACACACACAGACAGCAGGGGGCAGAACTGAGCAGAGACTGGACCACAGATGATGAACTTCACTTTACAGCCGATCCAGAACTGTCTCTTCAACATGTTTTATTAAAATCTGAAATTGTTACTCCACAAACACTTTCACTGAAGTTTTTAACAATCAACCAAAGTCTTTTATCTAAAGCAAACTTTAGAAAGCTTGTATATGTTGTTAAACTGCTGATCTATAACCCTTCCCCATGCCCGTTGCTGATTGATGATGTATGATCTGCAGGGTCCGGGTCCGGCTCACCCGTACGACAGCGGACACCTGGCCATGACCTACACCGGCCTCGCCTGCCTCGTGATCCTGGGGGACGACCTGAGCCGCGTCAGGAGAGAGGCCTGTCTGGAGGGGCTGAGAGCGCTGCAGCTGGAGGACGGCAGGTCACCACCTCACACACACACCTTACACACCTCACACACACCTGACCCTAACACACACCTGGGGGACGACCTGAGCCGCGTCAGGAGAGAGGCCTGTCTGGAGGGCCTGAGAGCGCTGCAGCTGGAGGACGGCAGGTCACCACCTCACACACACACCTTACACACCTCACACACACCTGACCCTAACACACACCTGGGGGACGACCTGAGCCGCGTCAGGAGAGAGGCCTGTCTGGAGGGCCTGAGAGCTCTGCAGCTGGAGGACGGCAGGTCACCACCTCACACACACACCTTACACACCTCACACACACCTGACCCTAACACACACCTGAACACACCTGGGGGACGACCTGAGCCGCGTCAGGAGAGAGGCCTGTCTGGAGGGCCTGAGAGCTCTGCAGCTGGAGGACGGCAGGTCACCACCTCACACACACCTCACAGACCCCTGACCCTCACACACACCTTACAACTTACACACACCTTACACACACCTGACTTTCATCCTTCTCCTTACACATGTGTGTTAGCAGGGTCTGAATGTGTGTGTTTCTTCTGGCAGCTTCTACGCCGTCCCAGAAGGCAGTGAGAACGACATGAGGTTTGTGTACTGTGCCGCCTGTATTTGCTACATGCTGGACGACTGGACTGGGATGGACTGCCAGAGAGCCATCGACTACATCCGGAGGAGCACAGTGAGTCCCACAATCCCCTCCTCCTCCCGTAACTCCATCCTCGGCACAGTGAGTCCCACAATCCCCCACTCCTCCCGTAACTCCATCCTCGGCACAGTGAGTCCCACAATCCCCTCCTCCTCCCGTAACTCCGTCCTCGGCACAGTGAGTCCCACAATCCCCTCCTCCTACCGTAACTCCGTCCTCGGCACAGTGAGTCCCACAATCCCCCACTCCTCCCGTAACTCCATCCTCGGCACAGTGAGTCCCACAATCCCCTCCTCCTCCCGTAACTCCATCCTCGGCACAGTGAGTCCCACAATCCCCCCCCTCCTCCCGTAACTCCGTCCTCGGCACAGTGAGTCCCACAATCCCCCCCCTCCTCCCGTAACTCCATCCTCGGCACAGTGAGTCCCACAATCCCCCCCTCCTCCCGTAACTCCGTCCTCGGCACAGTGAGTCCCACAATCCCCTCCTCCTCCCGTAACTCCGTCCTCGGCACAGTGAGTCCCACAATCCCCTCCTCCTCCCGTAACTCCATCCTCGGCACAGTGAGTCCCACAATCCCCCCCTCCTCCCGTAACTCCGTCCTCGGCACAGTGAGTCCCACAATCCCCTCCTCCTCCCGTAACTCCATCCTCGGCACAGTGAGTCCCACAATCCCCCCCTCCTCCCGTAACTCCGTCCTCGGCACAGTGAGTCCCACAATCCCCCCCTCCTCCCGTAACTCCGTCCTCGGCACAGTGAGTCCCACAATCCCCTCCTCCTCCCGTAACTCCATCCTCGGCACAGTGAGTCCCACAATCCCCTCCTCCTCCCGTAACTCCGTCCTCGGCACAGTGAGTCCCACAATCCCCTCCTCCTCCCGTAACTCCGTCCTCGGCACAGTGAGTCCCACAATCCCCTCCTCCTCCCGTAACTCCGTCCTCGGCACAGTGAGTCCCACAATCCCCTCCTCCTCCCGTAACTCCGTCCTCGGCACAGTGAGTCCCACAATCCCCTCCTCCTCCCGTAACTCCATCCTCGGCACAGTGAGTCCCACAATCCCCTCCTCCTCCCGTAACTCCATCCTCGGCACAGTGCGTCCCACAATCCCCTCCTCCTCCCGTAACTCCATCCTCGGCACAGTGAGTCCCACAAATCCCCCCCTCCTCCCGTAACTCCGTCCTCGGCACAGTGAGTCCCACAATCCCCTCCTCCTCCCGTAACTCCGTCCTCGGCACAGTGAGTCCCACAATCCCCTCCTCCTCCCGTAACTCCATCCTCGGCACAGTGAGTCCCACAATCCCCTCCTCCTCCCGTAACTCCATCCTCGGCACAGTGAGTCCCACAATCCCCTCCTCCTCCCGTAACTCCGTCCTCGGCACAGTGAGTCCCACAAATCCCCCCCTCCTCCCGTAACTCCGTCCTCGGCACAGTGAGTCCCACAATCCCCTCCTCCTCCCGTAACTCCGTCCTCGGCACAGTGAGTCCCACAATCCCCTCCTCCTCCCGTAACTCCGTCCTCGGCACAGTGAGTCCCACAATCCCCTCTTCCTCCCGTAACTCCGTCCTCGGCACAGTGAGTCCCACAATCCCCCCCTCCTCCCGTAACTCCGTCCTCGGCACAGTGAGTCCCACAATCCCCTCCTCCTCCCGTAACTCCGTCCTCGGCACAGTGAGTCCCACAATCCCCTCCTCCTCCCGTAACTCTGTCCTCGGCACAGTGAGTCCCACAATCCCCTCCTCCTCCCGTAACTCCGTCCTCGGCACAGTGAGTCCCACAATCCCCCCCTCCTCCCGTAACTCCGTCCTCGGCACAGTGAGTCCCACAATCCCCCCCTCCTCCCGTAACTCCGTCCTCGGCACAGTGAGTCCCACAATCCCCTCCTCCTCCCGTAACTCCGTCCTCGGCACAGTGAGTCCCACAATCCCCTCCTCCTCCCGTAACTCCGTCCTCGGCACAGTGAGTCCCACAATCCCCTCCTCCTCCCGTAACTCCGTCCTCGGCACAGTGAGTCCCACAATCCCCCCCTCCTCCCGTAACTCCGTCCTCGGCACAGTGAGTCCCACAATCCCCCCCTCCTCCCGTAACTCCGTCCTCGGCACAGTGAGTCCCACAATCCCCCCCTCCTCCCGTAACTCCGTCCTCGGCACAGTGAGTCCCACAATCCCCTCCTCCTCCCGTAACTCCGTCCTCGGCACAGTGAGTCCCACAATCCCCCCCTCCTCCCGTAACTCCGTCCTCGGCACAGTGAGTCCCACAAATCCCCCCCTCTCACTGTATGGACAGAAAAAAATCTTTTGTGTTTTTACAGAAGAAAGAGTCATGCAGGTTTGGAGATTCAGTAAATAATCCTGTTTGGCTGAACTGATGTTGATCTCTTTATGAACTGTAGTTTCACTGATCTGCTGTTCGTGTTCTTCCTCCTGCAGTCGTATGACAGTGGGATTGGTCAAGGAGCCGGACTGGAGTCACATGGTGCGTTTACACTGTTTTGCACACACTGAACCCTGCTGATAAACGCCTGATCGTTCTTTGAACACCTTCCCAGGAACTCGTGTAGGAAGTGCTTTCATTCGAGCGCGTCAAAAGAGTTTTCTGAGTTTCAACATCAACATTCACTGTTTGGAGTGTGAAATATTTTACTGATGTGATTCTTGCAGATGTGGAAAGTGTGTTTATCCAGTGTTTGCAGTTTGGTTAAATTTGTAAAAACTGCATCGTTATTTCTGAAAATAACTTTCACAAGGCAAATGAAGTGGGATGAATGTGTTCATAACTAATGTTGTAAAGTCAGTCCTGATATAAATGAGATCAGACTGTTTAATCACGTCTAATATTGACTGAAGGATCAGACTGTTAAACACGTTTTACTGGACCGTCCGGCTTTTATTCAGACGTTTCAGTAATAGATGTTTTTTAAAGTGGTTGAGCATTTTAGAATTTCTATCAAATATAATTTTGTTTGCCCTGAATATAGCCTTTATGCTCATATGGCATTTTAAATATATATACTGAATGTAAGTTGCATAAACTTTTAGTTCCCAGAACGTTTAGAGCCGGGCATCAGTTCAGTGAGTGAGTCGGAGTTGATTCAGTGATTCAGTGCCGGTGTGGTGAAGTGCTGAGTCCCAGCGCAGTGATCAGTCCTTAGAGCCCAAGCAATCCCATTGGTTCAAAGCACGTTTTATGGGTAATCGCTTTAGTGCCTGGTTACAAATCAGATATAAGTTTATTATGTAAGTCGCTTGAACTATGTTAAAATGATCAATAATGTCTTTTAACTTATGTTTCATATACTCGTAATAACCGAAGCTATAGACTGTGAAATTAAACATTGCTCGTTCTTAGTGTTTTTTAGTTAGCTTAGATAGTAGCATAGCATACAGCTATCCCAAATGATTAGAGATAACGTTTTTTTCACCATCTACGATATTTTTCGATAAACTTTGATAACAAATATGATACAAGCATAATTCTATTTAAGAAATAATTATGACATGACATGCTTGTAATAAAAAAAAAAAAATATATATACTATACCTTATTGCTTAACAACAATTAACAATGTCGCAAAACATACCAAAAAATGCAAATTCTTTTACTTAAACTATATATAAATAATCAGGATAAAAATAAAAGATTATTACATGAATTAAAATTTGATTGATTACATTATGAATTGCGAGAAAAGCTTTATGGTGCGTTCTATTATTGTCAACGAACCGACTCGGCCCTCGGATATGACGCCACTTCCACACTTGAAGCGCTCTGGTATGTTTTGCGCGTCCGAGTCGGAGAAAAAACATGGATGCCACCCGGAAAGCTGTTGCTATGGTAGCACTGGCCGAATACCAGACGCTTATCAAAACCCAGCTATATGAACTTCTAAAACTTTCACTTTATTTCATGTTTTAGTTTATCTTCTGTTAGCAACGCTAGCCACGTTAGTAACACCCGTTTGAAACAAGGCTTCATTCAGTATTGCACTCACAACAAGACCGATTCCCATTCCCACAGGCAGTGATGCGGACGCAGTATTGCAGTAATACGAGTGATTAAAATCGTCATTTAAACAACCAAAGCGGTCCAAAAACAATGAAAACAATTCTTACAAGTCACACAGGGCGCAGCCATCTTGGATTCCGTATCGGAGTTCTTGCTCGGTGTCCTCGCGGTTGTCCGACTTCCGATGAAAGGGGCGTTGGTGCGTGTTGCTAGGCAACGTCTGTCTTTCTAGTCGGAACTCCGACACGGATAAAGAATAGAACGCACCGTTAGATCAGGCGTACTACCGGGGTCCTAAGCTGGGACTCAACACTTCACTCCGTCTCTGATGAGAACTGACTGAATCCGTCTCTCTTCCTCAGGTGGGTCCACCTTCTGTGCCGTGGCGTCCCTTTGCATGATGGGAAAGCTGCAGGAGGTGTTCAGCGAGCGCGAGCTGAACCGGATCCGGCGCTGGTGTATCCTCCGACAGCAGAACGGCTTCCACGGCCGGCCCAACAAACCCGTGGACACGTGCTACTCCTTCTGGGTGGGAGCGACGCTGGAGGTGCGTGCGCTTCTGCAACACGCCTCGTTACCGCGGCGATGAGGCTCATCCAATCAGAACGACTGCTATAGTTTTAAACTTATCATGTGGTTGTTATACGTGTTAAATCACCTGCAGTGATTGTATGTAATATCATTCACTGAATTAGAGTAATTGTCCTGAATGCTGTCACTGGCGTTCAGTAAGTCGAGCATCGCTAGTGGTGTTAGTGACGTGATCGTCCGCTAGCACTGAAGAGATGTTTCATTGAGATGGAAACACAAGCGACATTTACGGTGTTCAAAGGTTTACGTTTTGCGAAGACATGTGACCAATAGATGATCGATAGCTCACGGTGTGACTCTCAGCTGAATTACAAGAACTACTAAACTGGAGTAGATTTAAGATTTTTTACTTTTTGGTTGTATTATATGTTGAATCATGTTTTTAAAGAAGACCTAATATGCCTTTCTCACAGTTGTGATGATGTTTCAGGCTCTACTAGAACATGTTTTCCTGCTTGAATGTTGATTATTCTCCTCATATTCTCCATTGTTGCGGCTCCTCTCTTCCCAGTCTGTCAGTAACGCTCTGTTTACTTCCTGTCTCTATGAAGCTCCTCCTCCTGAAAGCACACTGTGCTCTGATTGGTCGGCTGGATCAGTGTGTTGTGATTGGTCGAGCGTTTCGAGCGTGTTTAGGAAATGTCCCGCCCCTTTCCATAACCGCCAGTTTAACACACTACTAACTAACTCAACCAGGCCCCGCCCCTTTATTCTGCGTATGAATTATTATAATGAGGAATATTGTGACGTGTTCGTTCCCGGGAGAAAATCGAGACTAATGGAGGCGTTTCTGGGTCTGTCGGGTTTGGTGTGTGTGTGTGTGTGTTTGAGCGGTTCCTCAGATCATGTGTTGTTAAGGAGAATGAGCTGTTCTTAGTAAGTTCAGTGAACTCTGAAACACCCTAGCAACTGCATAGCTAACCCTCGTAGCACGCTAGCATTACTGAGGCCTGTGTCAGTGTGTGTTGGTGTTTGTGCTCTGTCTAACATGCTCCTCTTGCGTCCCACAGCTTTTAGACATTTTCCAGCTCACCAACTTCGAGAAGAACCGGAACTACATTCTGTCGACACAGGACCGTCTGGTGGGCGGCTTCGCTAAATGGCCCGACAGTCACCCAGGTGAGGTTACAGCCGCGCTCACTGCGCAGAGGAGCTTTTGTGTGCGGTCAGTCGACACCAGTGTAACTCAATACAGGAGCTGTGAACATGTGACAGATGAGACTCAAGTTACGGAAGATGAGCTTCATTGTTGCTCCAATAATCGCTGACCTGTAAAATGTGCTTTATTGTCATCAAACTGCAGAAGAACACAGTGCTGAACACACACTTACGAACACACGCATGAACACACACACACACGCATGAACACACACACACTGAACACACACTTACGAACACACGCACGAACACACACGCATGAACACATGAACTTGCGCATGAACACACACGCATGAACACACACGCATGAACACACACGCATGAACACACACGCATGAACACACACGCATGAACACACACGCATGAACACACACACACTGAACACACACGCATGAACACACACACACTGAACACACACGCATGAACACACACGCATGAACACACACGCATGAACACACACGCATGAACACACACGCATGAACACACACGCATGAACACACATGCATGAACACACACGCATGAACACACACGCATGAACACACACGCATATGAACACACACGCATATGAACACACACGCATGAACACACACGCATGAACACACACGCATATGAACACACACGCATGAACACACACGCATGAACACACTGAACACACGCACGAACACACGCATGAACACACTGAACACACACGCATGAACACACACGCATGAACACACTGAACACACGCACGAACACACGCATGAACACATGAACTTGCGCATGAACACACACGCATGAACACACACGCATGAACACACACGCATGAACACACACGCATGAACACACACGCATGAACACACACGCATGAACACACACGCATGAACACACACGCATGAACACACACGCATGAACACACACGCATGAACAAATTGAACACACACATATAAACTCACGCATGAACACTGAAAACACGCTTAAACACATATAAACTCACACATGAACACACGCATGAACACACACGCATGAACAAATGCATGAACACACTGAACACACACATATAAACTCACGCATGAACACTGAAAACACGCTTAAACACATATAAACTCACGCATGAACACACACGCATGAACAAATGCATGAACACACTGAACACACACATATAAACTCACGCATGAACACTGAAAACACGCTTAAACACATAAACTCACACATGAACACACGCATGAACACAATGCAATTTTATTCTAGAAACAAACTTCTTGTATTTGTTATCACTGTGAAGCTGCTTTGATACAATCTGTATTGTAAAAAGCGCTATATAAATAAAGATGACTTGACACTGAACACACACTGAACACGCATGAACACACGAAAACACGCATGAATAAATGAGCATGCACGAACACACACGCATGAACACACACTGAACACACACACGCATGAACACACACATGAACACACACATGAACACACACGAAAACACGCATGAACAAACTGAACACACACGCACGAACACACGCATGAACACACGCATGAACACATTAAACATGCATGGACACACACTGAACACACACTGAACACACACATGAATACACGCATGAACACATTAAACATGCATGGACACACGCATGAACACATTAAACAAACTGAACACACACGCACGAACACACACACGCATGAACGCACGCACGAACACACACACGCATGAACGCACGCACGAACACACTAAACACGCATGAACACAATAAACACGCATGGACACGCATGAACACATTAAACAAACTAAACACACACGCACGAACACACACACGCATGAACGCACGCACGAACACACTAAACACGCATGAACACAATAAACACGCATGGACACGCATGGACACGCATGAACACATTAAACAAACTGAACACACACGCACGAACACACTAAACACGCATGAACACAATAAACACGCATGGACACGCATGAACACACACATGAACACACACATGAACACTAAACACACATGCATGAACACACGCATGAACACTGCACACACGCATGAACAGATGTCTGCTTGTTTCTTTGCTGTACGCTCTGACATCACGGGGTCAGCGTGAATTATTCATAAAGCTCTTAAAGGCGCAGTAGCTGCTGCTCGAGAGACCGGTTCTCCTCTCCTGCTCATCCTGCTCCTCCTGTTCCTCTGCTCCTCCTGTTTCTCCTGTTCCTCCTGCTTCTCCTCCTGATTCTCCTGTCTCCTGTGTCTCCTCCTGATTCTCCTGTCTCCTGTGTCTCCTCCTGTTTCTCCTGTCTCCTGTGTCGTCTCCTGTGTCTCCTCCTGATTCTCCTGTTCCTCCTGCTTCTCCTCCTGATTCTCCTGTCTCCTGTGTCTCCTCCTGTTTCTCCTGTTCCTCTGCTCCTCCTGATTCTCCTGTTCCTCCTGCTTCTCCTCCTGATTCTCCTGTCTCCTGTGTCTCCTCCTGTTTCTCCTGTTCCTCTGCTCCTCCTGTTTCTCCTGTTCCTCCTGCTTCTCCTCCTGATTCTCCTGTCTCCTGTGTCTCCTCCTGATTCTCCTGTCTCCTGTGTCTCCTCCTGATTCTCCTGTCTCCTGTGTCGTCTCCTGTGTCTCCTCCTGTTTCTCCTGTTCCTCCTGCTTCTCCTCCTGATTCTCCTGTCTCCTGTGTCTCCTCCTGTTTCTCCTGCTTCTCCTCCTGATTCTCCTGTCTCCTGTGTCTCCTCCTGATTCTCCTGTCTCCTGTGTCTCCTGATTCTCCTGTCTCCTGTGTCTCCTCCTGTTTCTCCTGTTCCTCCTGCTTCTCCTCCTGATTCTCCTGTCTCCTGTGTCTCCTCCTGATTCTCCTGTCTCCTGTGTCTCCTCCTGATTCTCCTGTCTCCTGTGTCTCCTCCTGATTCTCCTGTCTCCTGTGTCTCCTCCTGTTTCTCCTGTTCCTCCTGCTTCTCCTCCTGATTCTCCTGTCTCCTGTGTCTCCTCCTGATTCTCCTGTCTCCTGTGTCTCCTGATTCTCCTGTCTCCTGTGTCTCCTCCTGTTTCTCCTGTTCCTCCTGCTTCTCCTCCTGATTCTCCTGTCTCCTGTGTCTCCTCCTGATTCTCCTGTCTCCTGTGTCTCCTCCTGATTCTCCTGTCTCCTGTGTCTCCTCCTGATTCTCCTGTTCCTCCTGCTTCTCCTCCTGATTCTCCTGTCTCCTGTGTCTCCTCCTGTTTCTCCTGTCTCCTGTGTCTCCTCCTGCTCCTCCTGTTCCTCTGCTCCTCCTGTTTCTCCTGTTCCTCCTGCTTCTCCTCCTGATTCTCCTGTCTCCTGTGTCTCCTCCTGATTCTCCTGTCTCCTGTGTCTCCTCCTGTTTCTCCTGTTCCTCCTGCTTCTCCTCCTGCTTCTCCTGTTCCTCCTGCTTCTCCTCCTGATTCTCCTGTCTCCTGTGTCTCCTCCTGATTCTCCTGTCTCCTGTGTCTCCTCCTGTTTCTCCTGTTCCTCCTGCTTCTCCTCCTGATTCTCCTGTCTCCTGTGTCTCCTCCTGATTCTCCTGTCTCCTGTGTCTCCTCCTGATTCTCCTGTCTCCTGTGTCTCCTCCTGATTCTCCTGTTCCTCCTGCTTCTCCTCCTGATTCTCCTGTCTCCTGTGTCTCCTCCTGTTTCTCCTGTCTCCTGTGTCTCCTCCTGCTCCTCCTGTTCCTCTGCTCCTCCTGTTTCTCCTGTTCCTCCTGCTTCTCCTCCTGATTCTCCTGTCTCCTGTGTCTCCTCCTGATTCTCCTGTGTCTCCTCCTGATTCTCCTGTTCCTCCTGCTTCTCCTCCTGATTCTCCTGTCTCCTGTGTCTCCTCCTGTTTCTCCTGTCTCCTGTGTCTCCTCCTGCTCCTCCTGTTCCTCTGCTCCTCCTGTTTCTCCTGTTCCTCCTGCTTCTCCTCCTGATTCTCCTGTCTCCTGTGTCGTCTCCTGTGTCTCCTCCTGTTTCTCCTGTTCCTCTGCTCCTCCTGTTTCTCCTGTCTCCTGTGTCTCCTCCTGCTCCTCCTGTTCCTCTGCTCCTCCTGTTCCTCTGCTCCTCCTGATTCTCCTGTCTCCTGTGTCTCCTCCTGCTCCTCCTGTTCCTCTGCTCCTCCTGTTCCTCTGCTCCTCCTGTTTCTCCTGTTCCTCCTGCTTCTCCTCCTGATTCTCCTGTCTCCTGTGTCGTCTCCTGTGTCTCCTCCTGATTCTCCTGTCTCCTGTGTCGTCTCCTGTGTCTCCTCCTGATTCTCCTGTCTCCTGTGTCTCCTCCTGTTTCTCCTGTTCCTCCTGCTTCTCCTCCTGATTCTCCTGTCTCCTGTGTCTCAGACCCCCTGCACACGTACTTCGGCATCTGCGGCCTGTCTCTGCTCGGGGAAGCGGACCTGCGTAAGGTTCATCCGGCTCTGAACATCAGCGTGCGGGCGTTCGAGACTCTGCAGCAGCTGCACGGGTCCTGGAGGCAGAACCAGAACCAGACCCGCTCGTGACCTCTGACCTCAGCATAATCCCCACGTGACTGATGAAAAAATCAGCAGATCAGCGTAATCAATTATTAAAGGTAAAGCTCGCTCTGTAGTCGTAGGCCACAAGACCCCTGCGCTCCGGCCAGACCCGCCCCCTCTTCAAGCTGTTTATTATTATAAGTGCTGTTTCTGCCTTATGAATATGGAGGAGCTCATGTGAACAGGAGCCGAGCTGCGTCCGGCGTTCCTGGAGTAACACACTCTATATCTCTGTTTTACACTTTATATTTTCACAAGCAACGTCAGCCTATTGTTTCTGTTACTCTACATGTGAAATCATGTTCCTTCAGTGTCCTCTCATGAATGTGCCTCAGATATCTCTACTGTGTGTGTGTGTGTGTGTGTGTGTGTGTGTGTGTGTGTGTGTGTGTTATACATACGGCATTCTGACACTTGAATGTGTTTCAAGGATCAAAAAATGAAATTATTTTTTCTATGCTGTAATATCAAGTGTAGAAGTGAAACTGCTCATATTTTATGATGTAGAGTTACGGACTTGCGAGTGTCAATAAACGAACAGCTTTTATGATGTGTGAGGAATGAGCCTTTCTGACGCGAGACTCCCTCGGCCAGCACGAGGACACCAGCAGCCTTTATTCTTCAGCTCCTCGCTTCTGGAACATCACCTTCTAGATCTTATATTAAATCTACTCTTAATGATGTGTTTAGAGGAGGAATGGCTTCATTAAGGCTTGTGTGTTCGTAAGCAAAGATTCCCTGTTCAACCATTAACTTAGAATCTTATGGACTTTGAAAATAAGAGTGCAATTAAATGTCCTTAATCAGAAAACATGACAGATACATCAGTGTGTGTGAGGTGTTAGATTGACTGACCACACACACACACACACTCACAGACACACACTCACAGATACACACACACACACACACACACTCTCTCTCTCACATACACTCTCAAACACTTACTCCCTCCCTCTCTTTCTCTCTCTCTCACACTAACACACTCGTAACACACACCCTCCCTCTCTTTCTCTCTCTCACACACACACACACACACTCCCTCCCTCTCTTTCTCTCTCACACTCACTCTCTCTCTCTCTCGCACACACTTTCTCTCTCTCTCACACTAACACACTCGTAACACACACCCTCCCTCTCTTTCTCTCTCTCACACACGCACACCCTCCCTCTCTTTCTCTCTCACACACACACACACACACACACACACTCCCTCCCTCTCTTTCTCTCTCTCACACTCACTCTCTCACTCTCTCTCACACACTCTCTCCCTCCCTCTCTTTCTCTCTCTCACATCACTCTCTCACTCTCTCTCACACACTCTCTCACACACACACACTCACTCCCTCCCTCTCTTTCTCTCTCTCTCACACACACTCGCACTCTCTCTCTTTCTCTCACACACTCACAGATACACATACACTCTCTCTCAAACACTCTCTTTCTCTCTCAAACACTCACTCCCTCCCTCTCTCTCTCTCACACACTCGCACTCTCTCTCTTTCTCTCACACACTCACAGATACACATACACTCTCTCTCAAACACTCTCTTTCTCTCTCAAACACTCACTCCCTCCCTCTCTCTCTCTCACACACACACACTCTCTCTCTCACATACACTCTCAAACACTTACTCCCTCCCTCTCTTTCTCTCTCTCTCACACTAACACACTCGTAACACACACCCTCCCTCTCTTTCTCTCTCTCACACACACACACACACACTCCCTCCCTCTCTTTCTCTCTCACACTCACTCTCTCTCTCTCTCGCACACACTTTCTCTCTCTCTCACACTAACACACTCGTAACACACACCCTCCCTCTCTTTCTCTCTCTCACACACGCACACCCTCCCTCTCTTTCTCTCTCACACACACACACACACACTCACAGATACACATACACTCTCTCTCAAACACTCACTTTCTCTCACACACACACACCCTCTCTCTCTGTCACACACACACTCTCAAACACACCCACCCTCTCTTTCTCTCTCAAACACTCACTCCCTCCCTCTCTCTCTCTCACACACACACACACTCTCTCTTTCTCTCACACACACACACACACACACTCACAGATACACATACACTCTCTCTCAAACACTCACTTTCTCTCACACACACACACCCTCTCTCTCTGTCACACACACACTCTCTCAAACACACCCTCCCTCTCTTTCTCTCTCAAACACTCACTCCCTCCCTCTCTCTCTCTCACACACACACACACTCTCTCTTTCTCTCTCACACACACACACACACACACACACACACTCACAGATACACATACACACTCTCTCAAACACTCACTTTCTCTCACACACTCACACCCTCTCTCTCTGTCACACACACACTCTCTCAAACACACCCTCCCTCTCTTTCTCTCTCAAACACTCACTCCCTCCCTCTCTCTCTCTCACACACACACACACTCTCTCTTTCTCTCTCACACACACACACACACACACACACACACTCACAGATACACATACACACTCTCTCAAACACTCACTTTCTCTCACTCACTCCCTCCCTCTCTCTCTCTCACACACACACACACACACTCTCTCTTTCTCTCACACACACACACACACACACTCACAGATACACATACACTCTCTCTCAAACACTCACTTTCTCTCACACACTCACACCCTCTCTCTCTGTCACACACACACTTCCTTATTGTTTGTCTGTATTCTTTCCCTTTGACTCTTGAATTAAAAAATGTAAGACTGAAGACTTGCACAAAGGTCTTAATGTTTAATGTTCAGATTATTTCTGTATGCATGAGTCTCAGAGATATTCTGTGACTGTAAATGTCGGCCTGTAACGCGTCCAGACGAATATTCCGGAATAAAACCCTTCCTTTCATCTGGTTAACGACGCCTGGATCTCGCGGAGTAAGAGTTCAGTATTCCAGCGTTGCTTCATCACTTCATCAGGCATTTTGACTGTGTTATAAACATAAACACACCTGTGTATAAAGAGGACGACTGTGTAGAATTATGGGTCAAAGGTTGGATGTAAAGTCCAAAAAAATGAATTACTGAATGTCATGTGACTGAGGGCTTAATAAACATCTGATGAACAAGTACTATATGAAAGCAAAGTATGAAAGAGTTGTGCAATTTCTTTTTTACTCAGTTTCAAAGTCCTGCTTGTACTGAGCTCTACACAGATCTGCCACACAATATACTAAATCTGTTATAGTCAAAACAATAAATGAGCCACATATGTAATGAAAGCATATATGACATGTTCAATGAGGAAAATCATGGAACCAAGATCATGTGAATACACACGTGACACAGCCCATGGTCTTCGACTGTAATACAGTATTTATTGTAATAAACACTGATTATGTCCTTCTGACTGTTCCTGGAGTCAGAGCTGTTGATCTGGTGTCTGATTATCTGTGACATCATGAAAGTTTTATTAGATGGCAGATCTACACAAAGAGCTGTCAGTCCCGCGAGGCCACGCCCACAGACCGGGCGAGGGGCGGAGTCCCGTGTGCGCGTCACCCTGGGCTGAGTGAGTGAGGTTCCTGTGCTCGCGACAGGCTCTGCTGTGATGAGGATATCGAGGAGAACTCATAACCATCTCCTCATCTCGGGCTGGGTCATCGCTCATCAGGATGTCGGACTCGGAGATGTCCGAGTTCGCGAGTATAGTGGAGCGCATCGAGAGAGGCGAGGTGAGATGATAAAACACTCGAGCCTGCAATCATGTGATTAATCACTGTATTCTGCTGATGCTTCATGCTTGTCTTTCTCTGTCATGGAGAAATAATATTCGCTCATTCATCCACATCAATATCCCGTGCAAATGACGTCACCGTTGTTTTAGATCATTATAATATAAAGAAAGAAAAATATATCATTTATAATATTGTGCACTTAAGAGCGCAAAGAATTTGGCGTCGACTTGGATATGAAGGATGATTTGTATAATGTATAAATGATGTGCCGTTCTGTTGCGGACCCCGCCCCTTATTTAAATACTGAATGGTTTCGCTGCAGGGTTGCTATAGTGACGGGCAGTGACTCCGCCCACATTTCGGCTTGTTGTCCACGGTGTCGCGCCGCTCGCGCATTAACGCGCGTCACGTTGTTCTATTCATCCTCTAATTGTGCCAATCTCTCATTTGCGAAGTTGAAACAGGAACGCGGAGTTTGTCTTTCTTCTGCTCGCGATGTCCCGGCGAAGCTCGATCCTGGTGAGTCCGTCTCAGCTCTTCATCCTCGACAATGAAGCTGCTATTGTTTGCTGAGAGAAAGTTGAAGCGATTGTTTTGAATGTATTTTGTAAATGAGGAAAATAAAGGCCTTGTAGACCTTCATCCTCGTCACAGTTTTTTCACAACTATTAGACAGTCGTACTTTTAGGCTTAGAATAGAAATGCGAAAGTGAACAGTGGAAGTTCGTTACTTCCCCAAGCGCGCGTGAGTCGCAGAATCATCTGAATCAATCATGTGAATCAATCATCTGAATCAATCATGTGAATCAATCATCTGACTCCTCTGAATCATCTCGCGCTTCTCTAACTGCAGTGAAACTCTCTTCTCGTCGGAGTTGTGATGCCGAATTCTGAACGTTTTCACAGTAGTGTGTGTGTGTGTGTGTGTGTGTGTGTGTGTGTGTGTGTGTGTGTGTGTGTGTGTGTGTGTGTGTGTGTGTGTGTGTGTGTGTGTGTGTCGACAGGTGCCGATGAAGAGCATCGAGAGGGAGCTGATCTGTCCGATCTGTAAGGAGTTGTTCACTCAGCCGCTCATCTTGCCCTGTCAGCACAGTGTGTGTCACCGGTGTGTTAAAGACCTGCTCCTGCCGAACCACGAGGACTCCTTCAGCACCGACGCGGGCTCGGAGAGCTCGAACCCGGGCAGCCCTCGCTCCAGAGTCCCGTCCCCGAGCACGGAGAGACTGGACCGGCTGGTGCGATCAGGTAATCCGACTCGACTCCGGATCAACACTCAGAAACCTCAGATAAATCACTCGCATTACTTGGTTTGAGGCTCCTTCCATCCAAAAGACAGGCAGTTTGATTAAAAGTTACTTTGCATTTGAAATGGATGGAAGTAATATGGTTACATTTATTTTAATTTAAATATAAGATTCATGCATCTTATAAGAACTTGCCATTATAATTTGTAAAGCTGATATGTTTTGTTCAGGCCAACATTGTTTTTTTGTTGTTATCCTCTTAGAATCTGGGTGTGGGATCCAAAGCAGATTAAATTACATGAACTCATTTATGTTTTGGGTCAGTTTTACTGCAGGAATGATTAGTTTTAGTGTCTTTCTTCATCTCTTCTTTTATACTGTTGGCTTTCATTGCAGTTTTTCCCCCAAGAAATGTGATGCTGTTTTCATGTTCGTACAGTCATTGGTTGTGAATCAGGTTTCACTCCACTTCTGTTGCCGTCTAACCACTGTCAGTGTTGTCCTCTTCTCTCTGTCGCCTGCAGCCTCACTGAGGAGGGCGTTTGGAGGGAGAGGTAGATGTGGGTCACGTAATCTCATTAGCTGTAGTGTGTCTCTAGAACTGTGTGCTCATTTCTCTTCTCGATCAGAGTAGATGCGGCAGCTGCGTAACACACACCCGTGAGCGTTTGACAGACGCACTAATCTCCCCGTGACCGTGAGAACCGTGTGTTTGCAGAACAGCAGACGTCGCCCTGGAGCGACTCAGGAATCCACCGTTTGTCTCACGCAGAGAGAGAGAATATTGAGGCGTTTTTCTTCTAGACAGCAGCAACCAAATAAATAGCAGTGAACTTAGAACTAGGTTGAATTATTAAATAACTTCTCGTCAGGTAATACACTTGCTGTGACCGGTGAGCTCGAGGAGACGTAGTTATTAATCTAAATGCGTTCCAGAACCCGCTCTACCCTTCCGTGTCAAACGCTTCCCTCACGACTAATGATTTACTCACTTTAACACACTGGTCTCGCCATCATTAGCCATGTTCTTACTGGCAGGCTGATGTGGTTCTGTAGGGAAGGACCTTGTGCTGACGGGCCTGTTTCTGGTCTGAGCGTTTGTTTTTCCCCATCAGTTCCCAGCATGCCGAGCCGCACAGCACACTCACGGCATAAGTACACGCTTTACTTCATCATACACACTCCATGCCTGATCTGAACCCGCCGCTCGTTCAGATGTTGGCCTCGTTCTCGCTCATCTTCATCATCGTCCGCATGCGTGTCTTCATCATCTGTGCTGCACGTGTGTCTGCTGCATCGTACAGTGTGATCTCTTTATTTAGTGTTTGTTTGCATATCACTTCAGATGTTCTCTGTTTCAAATGCTTGCTGGAGAAGTGATTTCTTTCACCCTAAAATGATTTTCCTGCTTGTGAAGTGGCAAAATCCCACGACACTGACCTGGACAAACAGGAGAGAGAGGCTTCGTCAAGCTTTAAAGCTGCAGTGTGTGTGATCTGATCTGCGTTGGGTTAATGTTTAGGCCGATCTGCGTTGGGTTAATGTTCAGGCCGATCTGCGTTGGGTTAATGTTCAGGCCGATCTGCGTTGGGTTAATGTTCAGGCAGATCTGCGTTGGGTTAATGTTCAGGCCGATCTGCGTTGGGTTAATGTTCAGGCCGATCTGCGTTGGCTTAATGTTCAGGCCGATCTGCGTTGGGTTAATGTTCAGTCTGATCTGCGTTGGGTTAATGTTCAGGCCGATCTGCGTTGGGTTAATGTTCAGGCCGATCTGCGTTGGCTTAATGTTCAGGCCGATCTGCGTTGGCTTAATGTTCAGGCCGATCTGCGTTGGGTTAATGTTCAGGCCGATCTGCGTTGGCTTAATGTTCAGGCCGATCTGCGTTGGGTTAATGTTCAGTCTGATCTGCGTTGGGTTAATGTTCAGGCCGATCTGCGTTGGGTTAATGTTCAGGCCGATCTGCGTTGGGTTAATGTTCAGGCCGATCTGCGTTGGCTTAATGTTCAGGCCGATCTGCGTTGGCTTAATGTTCAGGCCGATCTGCGTTGGGTTAATGTTCAGGCCGATCTGCGTTGGCTTAATGTTCAGGCCGATCTGCGTTGGGTTAATGTTCAGTCTGATCTGCGTTGGGTTAATGTTCAGGCCGATCTGCGTTGGGTTAATGTTCAGGCCGATCTGCGTTGGGTTAATGTTCAGGCCGATCTGCGTTGGGTTAATGTTCAGGCCGATCTGCGTTGGGTTAATGTTCAGGCCGATCTGCGTTGGGTTAATGTTCAGGCCGATCTGCGTTGGGTTAATGTTCAGGCCGATCTGCGTTGGGTTAATGTTCAGGCCGATCTGCGTTGGGTTAATGTTCAGGCCGATCTGCGTTGGGTTAATGTTCAGGCCGATCTGCGTTGGGTTAATGTTCAGGCCGATCTGCGTTGGCTTAATGTTCAGGCCGATCTGCGTTGGGTTAATGTTCAGGCCGATCTGCGTTGGGTTAATGTTCAGTCTGATCTGCGTTGGGTTAATGTTCAGGCCGATCTGCGTTGGCTTAATGTTCAGGCCGATCTGCGTTGGCTTAATGTTCAGGCCGATCTGCGTTGGGTTAATGTTCAGGCCGATCTGCGTTGGGTTAATGTTCAGGCCGATCTGCGTTGGGTTAATGTTCAGGCCGATCTGCGTTGGGTTAATGTTCAGGCCGATCTGCGTTGGGTTAATGTTCAGGCCGATCTGCGTTGGGTTAATGTTCAGGCCGATCTGCGTTGGGTTAATGTTCAGGCCGATCTGCGTTGGCTTAATGTTCAGGCCGATCTGCGTTGGGTTAATGTTCAGGCCGATCTGCGTTGGGTTAATGTTCAGGCCGATCTGCGTTGGGGTAATGTTCAGGCCGATCTGCGTTGGGTTAATGTTCAGGCCGATCTGCGTTGGGTTAATGTTCAGGCCGATCTGCGTTGGGTTAATGTTCAGGCCGATCTGCGTTGGGTTAATGTTCAGGCCGATCTGCGTTGGGGTAATGTTCAGGCCGATCTGCGTTGGGTTAATGTTCAGGCCGATCTGCGTTGGGTTAATGTTCAGGCCGATCTGCGTTGGGGTAATGTTCAGGCCGATCTGCGTTGGGTTAATGTTCAGGCCGATCTGCGTTGGGTTAATGTTCAGGCCGATCTGCGTTGGGGTAATGTTCAGGCCGATCTGCGTTGGGTTAATGTTCAGGCCGATCTGCGTTGGGTTAATGTTCAGGCCGATCTGCGTTGGGTTAATGTTCAGGCCGATCTGCGTTGGGGTAATGTTCAGGCCGATCTGCGTTGGGGTAATGTTCAGGCCGATCTGCGTTGGGGTAATGTTCAGGCCGATCTGCGTTGGGTTAATGTTCAGGCCGATCTGCGTTGGGTTAATGTTCAGGCCGATCTGCGTTGGGGTAATGTTCAGGCCGATCTGCGTTGGGTTAATGTTCAGGCAGATCTGCGTTGGGTTAATGTTCAGTCCGATCTGCGTTGGGTTAATGTTCAGTCTGATCTGCGTTGGGTTAATGTTCAGGCCGATCTGCGTTGGGTTAATGTTCAGGCCGATCTGCGTTGGGTTAATGTTCAGGCCGATCTGCGTTGGGTTAATGTTCAGTCCGATCTGCGTTGGGTTAATGTTCAGTCTGATCTGCGTTGGGTTAATGTTCAGGCCGATCTGCGTTGGGTTAATGTTCAGGCCGATCTGCGTTGGGTTAATGTTCAGGCCGATCTGCGTTGGGTTAATGTTCAGGCTGATCTGCGTTGGGTTAATGTTCAGGCCGATCTGCGTTGGGTTAATGTTCAGGCCGATCTGCGTTGGGTTAATGTTCAGGCCGATCTGCGTTGGGTTAATGTTCAGGCCGATCTGCGTTGGGTTAATGTTCAGGCCGATCTGCGTTGGGTTAATGTTCAGGCCGATCTGCGTTGGGGTAATGTTCAGGCCGATCTGCGTTGGGTTAATGTTCAGGCCGATCTGCGTTGGGTTAATGTTCAGGCCGATCTGCGTTGGGGTAATGTTCAGGCCGATCTGCGTTGGGTTAATGTTCAGGCAGATCTGCGTTGGGTTAATGTTCAGTCCGATCTGCGTTGGGTTAATGTTCAGTCTGATCTGCGTTGGGTTAATGTTCAGGCCGATCTGCGTTGGGTTAATGTTCAGGCCGATCTGCGTTGGGTTAATGTTCAGGCCGATCTGCGTTGGGTTAATGTTCAGTCCGATCTGCGTTGGGTTAATGTTCAGTCTGATCTGCGTTGGGTTAATGTTCAGGCCGATCTGCGTTGGGTTAATGTTCAGGCCGATCTGCGTTGGGTTAATGTTCAGGCCGATCTGCGTTGGGTTAATGTTCAGGCCGATCTGCGTTGGGTTAATGTTCAGGCCGATCTGCGTTGGGTTAATGTTCAGTCTGATCTGCGTTGGGTTAATGTTCAGGCCGATCTGCGTTGGGTTAATGTTCAGGCCGATCTGCGTTGGGTTAATGTTCAGGCCGATCTGCGTTGGGTTAATGTTCAGGCCGATCTGCGTTGGGTTAATGTTCAGGCCGATCTGCGTTGGGTTAATGTTCAGGCCGATCTGCGTTGGCTTAATGTTCAGGCCGATCTGCGTTGGCTTAATGTTCAGGCCGATCTGCGTTGGGTTAATGTTCAGGCCGATCTGCGTTGGGTTAATGTTCAGTCTGATCTGCGTTGGGTTAATGTTCAGGCCGATCTGCGTTGGGTTAATGTTCAGGCCGATCTGCGTTGGGTTAATGTTCAGGCAGATCTGCGTTGGGTTAATGTTGAGGCTGATCTGCGTTGGGTTAATGTTCAGTCCGATCTGCGTTGGGTTAATGTTCAGGCCGATCTGCGTTGGGTTAATGTTGAGGCTGATCTGCGTTGGGTTAATGTTCAGGCCGATCTGCGTTGGGTTAATGTTCAGTCCGATCTGCGTTGGGTTAATGTTGAGGCTGATCTGCGTTGGGTTAATGTTCAGGCCGATCTGCGTTGGGTTAATGTTCAGGCAGATCTGCGTTGGGTTAATGTTCAGGCAGATCTGCGTTGGGTTAATGTTCAGTCCGATCTGCGTTGGGTTAATGTTCAGTCCGATCTGCGTTGGGTTAATGTTCAGGCCGATCTGCGTTGGGTTAATGTTCAGGCCGATCTGCGTTGGGTTAATGTTCAGGCCGATCTGCGTTGGGTTAATGTTCAGGCCGATCTGCGTTGGGTTAATGTTCAGGCCGATCTGCGTTGGGTTAATGTTCAGGCCGATCTGCGTTGGGTTAATGTTCAGGCCGATCTGCGTTGGGTTAATGTTCAGTCCGATCTGCGTTGGGTTAATGTTCAGTCCGATCTGCGTTGGGTTAATGTTCAGTCCGATCTGCGTTGGGTTAATGTTCAGGCCGATCTGCGTTGGGTTAATGTTCAGGCCGATCTGCGTTGGGTTAATGTTCAGGCCGATCTGCGTTGGGTTAATGTTCAGGCCGATCTGCGTTGGGTTAATGTTCAGGCCGATCTGCGTTGGGTTAATGTTCAGGCCGATCTGCGTTGGGTTAATGTTCAGGCCGATCTGCGTTGGGTTAATGTTCAGGCCGATCTGCGTTGGGTTAATGTTCAGGCCGATCTGCGTTGGGTTAATGTTCAGGCCGATCTGCGTTGGGTTAATGTTCAGGCCGATCTGCGTTGGGTTAATGTTCAGGCCGATCTGCGTTGGGTTAATGTTCAGGCCGATCTGCGTTGGGTTAATGTTCAGGCCGATCTGCGTTGGGTTAATGTTCAGGCCGATCTGCGTTGGGTTAATGTTCAGGCCGATCTGCGTTGGGTTAATGTTCAGGCCGATCTGCGTTGGGTTAATGTTCAGGCCGATCTGCGTTGGGTTAATGTTCAGGCCGATCTGCGTTGGGTTAATCACGCTCACAAATGCACAGAAAGGTCTCATTAATAAAGCACGTTTACCTGCAGAGTCTGTTTAGCACAACATCTCAAGATGTTATTTACTCTTAGCATTGTAAGCAATATTTTATACAAGTAATATTATAAATACTTATTAGTATTAATAGAATATTTTAAAGTTGTTGTTTGAGTCTAGATGTTACGTTAGAAACACCACCTGAAGCAAGAACAAGTAATCACACAAAAAAAAACAGATTTAAAATAATTGTTCAGTTTCAGCTTTCAGCCCAGTGTGTCCAGAATTTCTGGTTTTGGTTCCGCCCAATATTTTTAATTACGATGCATCACTAATTGGCTCCTGACGAGCAAAACACTGACTCTTTCATGACATTGTTCTGTTTAAGTAGAGCCAGGTCAACTTCTGTCTCGGCCAATCACGTGGGTTAGGGGCGGGGCTTCCTGTTTGACTGACCAATGACAGATGGAGTGTTTGGGGAAACCTGTTAGAAAACGATATTTGAATCACCGCTTCAGTTTCTGACAGAAATGACACACTGCAGCTTTAAGAACAGTGTCCTCGATCTCATTCATCACTGTGGAATACCTGTAATCAGTCTGTCATTCAGGGGTTTTTTTCCAAAGTGGTTAATTTCCATTTTTGACGTGTGTTTGAAGTCTCGCTTGTCCAGATCACTGTCTGCTGTTTCCACTGTCTCTGAGTCTCTCCATCTGTGTCTGACCTTATTGATACTGCTTTATTTTGAGTGCGTGCGTTTGAGTGTGTGCGTGTGAATGTGCGTGAGTGAGTGTGTGTGTGTGAGTGCGAGTGTGCATGAGTGTGTGCGTGAGTGTGTGTGAGTGTGCGAGTTTGAGAGTGTGTGCATGAGTGTGTGTGTGTGCGTGCGTGAGTGTGCGAGTTTGAGAGTGTGTGTGTGTGTGTGCGCGAGTGTGTGTGCGCGAGTGTGTGCGCGAGTGTGTGCGCGAGTGTGTGCGCGAGTGTGTGTGCGAGTGTGTGTGCGCGAGTGTGTGTGCGTGAGTGTGAGTGTGTGTGTGTGCATGTGTGTGAGTGTGTGTGTGTGCGAGTGTGTGTGTGCATGAGCGAGTGTGCGTGTGTGTGTGTGTGTGTGTGCGCGAGTGTGTGTGAGTGTGTGTGCGTGAGTGTGAGTGTGAGTGAGTGAGTGTGTGTGTGTGCGAGTGTGTGTGTGCGTGAGTGTGTGTGTGCGTGAGTGTGCGCATGAGTGTGTGTGTGTGCGTGAGTGAGTGAGTGACTGCGTGAGTGTGTGTGTGCGTGAGTGTGTGCATGAGTGTGTGTGTGCGTGAGTGAGTGAGTGACTGCGTGAGTGTGTGTGTGCGTGAGTGTGTGCATGAGTGACTGCGTGAGTGTGTGTGTGCGTGAGTGTGTGTGTGCGTGTGTGCGTGAGTGTGTGTGTGCGTGAGTGTGTGCATGAGTGTGTGTGTGCGTGAGTGAGTGAGTGACTGCGTGAGTGTGTGTGTGCGTGAGTGTGTGCATGAGTGTGTGTGTGTGCGCGAGTGTGTGTGCGCGAGTGTGTGTGCGCGAGTGTGTGTGCGCGAGTGTGTGTGCGCGAGTGTGTGTGCGTGAGTGAGTGTGTGTGTGTGTGCGTGAGTGTGTGTGTGTGCATGAGTGTGTGAGTGTGAGTGAGTGTGTGTGTGTGCGAGTGTGTGTGTGTGTGCGTGAGCGAGTGTGCGTGTGTGTGCGCGAGTGTGTGTGCGCGAGTGTGTGTGCGCGAGTGTGTGTGCGCGAGTGTGTGTGTGTGTGTGTGTGTGTGTGCGTGAGTGTGTGTGTGTGCATGAGTGTGTGAGTGTGAGTGTGTGTGTGTGTGCGAGTGTGTGTGTGCGTGAGCGAGTGTGTGTGCGTGAGTGTGTGCATGAGTGTGTGTGTGTGTGCGTGAGTGAGTGAGTGACTGCGTGAGTGTGTGTGTGCGTGAGTGTGTGCATGAGTGTGTGTGTGCGTGAGTGAGTGAGTGAGTGACTGCGTGAGTGTGTGTGTGCGTGAGTGTGTGCATGAGTGTGTGTGTGCGTGAGTGAGTGAGTGACTGCGTGAGTGTGTGCATGAGTGTGTGTGTGCGTGAGTGAGTGAGTGACTGCGTGAGTGTGTGTGTGCGTGAGTGTGTGTGTGTGCATGAGTGTGTGAGTGTGAGTGTGTGTGTGTGCGAGTGTGTGTGTGCGTGAGCGAGTGTGCGTGTGTGTGCGCGAGTGTGTGTGCGCGAGTGTGTGTGCGCGAGTGTGTGTGTGTGTGTGTGTGTGTGTGCGTGAGTGTGTGTGTGTGTGCATGAGTGTGTGAGTGTGAGTGAGTGTGTGTGTGCGAGTGTGTGTGTGCGTGAGCGAGTGTGCGTGAGTGTGTGTGTGCGTGAGTGTGTGCATGAGTGTGTGTGTGTGTGCGTGAGTGAGTGAGTGACTGCGTGAGTGTGTGTGTGCGTGAGTGTGTGCATGAGTGTGTGTGTGCGTGAGTGAGTGAGTGACTGCGTGAGTGTGTGTGTGCGTGAGTGTGTGCATGAGTGTGTGTGTGCGTGAGCGAGTGTGCGTGAGTGTGTGTGTGCGTGAGTGTGTGCATGAGTGTGTGTGTGTGTGCGTGAGTGAGTGAGTGACTGCGTGAGTGTGTGTGTGCGTGAGTGTGTGCATGAGTGTGTGTGTGCGTGAGTGAGTGAGTGACTGCGTGAGTGTGTGTGTGCGTGAGTGTGTGCATGAGTGTGTGTGTGCGTGAGTGAGTGACTGCGTGAGTGTGTGTGTGCGTGAGTGTGTGCATGAGTGACTGCCTGAGTGTGTGTGTGCGTGAGTGTGTGTGTGCGTGTGAGTGTGTGTGTGCGTGAGTGTGTGCATGAGTGTGTGTGTGCGTGAGTGAGTGAGTGACTGCGTGAGTGTGTGTGTGCGTGAGTGTGTGCATGAGTGACTGCGTGAGTGAGTGAGTGACTGCGTGAGTGTGTGTGTGCGTGAGTGTGTGCATGAGTGACTGCGTGAGTGAGTGAGTGACTGCGTGAGTGTGCGAGTGTGTGTGTGTGTGCCCCGTCCACTTCTCCCCCGCTCCTCTGACTGGTCTCTCGTGTTGCTCAGGCTCCATCTCCTCTCCCGGGTGGAGGCGCTCCTCCGTCACGCCGCGCATCACCACGTTCCCGTGTCCCGGCTGTCAGCACGACATCGACCTCGGGGAGCGCGGGATCAGCATGCTCTTCAGGAACTTCACGCTGGAGAGCATCGTGGAGCGCTACCGCCAGGCGGCCCGCGCGGCCGTGGCCATCATGTGCAGTGTGTGTAAGCCGCCGCTCCACGAGGCCACCAAGAGCTGCATGGACTGCAGGACCAGCTACTGCAACGAGTGCTTCAAGCTCAACCACCCCTGGGGGACGCCCAAAGCCCAGCACGAGTACGTGGGGCCCACCACCAACTTCAGGCCCAAGGTGCCCGCCTCTCCGCTCTCACTCAGGGCTGCAACTGACGGCTATCATTTCTTCGATTAATTGACTAATCCGATTTTTAAAAAGCCCAATTTTCTTTTCTCTTTTCATTGACAAAACACACTATTCCACGTCCTGGCCAAAGCTGTCCGTCAAACAAATACTGAATGCTATAAAAACATGTGAATATATCTATGGGATGTACAAAAGAGCTATAAAGGAAAAGGACAGTTTAAACCATTACATTAAAAATGAAGATAATAATAAAGATTAATAAAGAAAAATAAAAACACAAACTCAGTGTTAACAGATAAGAGGAATGTTCTGCAGGAAAACACATATTCACTCTGGAAACAGTGACTCGTTTCTGTCTTTTCTTTATCCTGTAAATGTTAGAGAAACGTCTTACATTTATATTCAATTACATGCAGTCTTTCCTTTACAGTTACCACTCTCTTAAAATACTTAAATTACGAATACTTTAATGTTGACGTTTAAACCTAAATTTAACGTCCAACAAACAGATATTTCAGCTCAATATTTTTGCGATGAATATTAATGGTCTTCCTCAGTTTGAGGCGCTCAGTCAGTGAGTCTGAAGCTTAGCGGTCAGGACGAGCCTTCATGCAAAATGGAAATGCTCGCGTGAATTTGTAACAAAGATAAGATATAACCGTATAATGAAAGTTTTGCGCTGAGGAAAGATATCGCACATTTAACGGCACACGCTTCTGTGAAAGCGCCTGACAGGCAAGCCGTGTTAAACATTTCGCTTGTGCGTTAGCTTGAAGCTTAAAATCGTGTTTGGGCAGCCTGGGTCCCTCGCCGGTCCCGCTGCAGATCTCTCTGTTTCCAGCACTGTTCTTAGATGCATTTCCTCCATATGTGTTATTCAGTGCTGAAATTAGACGTAACTAGCGGAAGTTTCCTGTGCATGGTGGGCAGACACGACTAATCAATAATGACATTCGTTGTCAATGATTTTCATTATCGATTATCAATTTTATCGATTCGTTGTTGCAGCCCTACTGTCAGTCACGATCTAGTCCGTCACTCCCTCGCGATCTAGTCCGTCACTCCCTCGCGATCTAGTCCGTCACTCCCTCGCGATCTAGTCCGTCACTCCCTCGCGATCTAGTCCGTCACTCCCTCGCGATCTAGTCCGTCACTGCCTCGCGATCTAGTCCGTCACTCCCTCGCGATCTAGTCCGTCACTGCCTCGCGATCTAGTCCGTCACTCCCTCGCGATCTAGTCCGTCACTCCCTCGCGATCTAGTCCGTCACTCCCTCGCGATCTAGTCCGTCACTCCCTCGCGATCTAGTCCGTCACTGCCTCGCGATCTAGTCCGTCACTCCCTCGCGATCTAGTCCGTCACTCCCTCGCGATCTAGTCCGTCACTCCCTCGCGATCTAGTCCGTCACTGCCTCGCGATCTAGTCCGTCACTGCCTCGCGATCTAGTCCGTCACTGCCTCGCGATCTAGTCCGTCACTCCCTCGCGATCTAGTCCGTCACTGCCTCGCGATCTAGTCCGTCACTCCCTCGCGATCTAGTCCGTCACTGCCTCGCGATCTAGTCCGTCACTCCCTCGCGATCTAGTCCGTCACTCCCTCGCGATCTAGTCCGTCACTCCCTCGCGATCTAGTCCGTCACTCCCTCGCGATCTAGTCCGTCACTCCCTCGCGATCTAGTCCGTCACTCCCTCGCGATCTAGTCCGTCACTCCCTCGCGATCTAGTCCGTCACTGCCTCGCGATCTAGTCCGTCACTCCCTCGCGATCTAGTCCGTCACTCCCTCGCGATCTAGTCCGTCACTCCCTCGCGATCTAGTCCGTCACTGCCTCGCGATCTAGTCCGTCACTGCCTCGCGATCTAGTCCGTCACTCCCTCGCGATCTAGTCCGTCACTCCCTCGCGATCTAGTCCGTCACTCCCTCGCGATCTAGTCCGTCACTCCCTCGCGATCTAGTCCGTCACTCCCTCGCGATCTAGTCCGTCACTGCCTCGCGATCTAGTCCGTCACTGCCTCGCGATCTAGTCCGTCACTCCCTCGCGATCTAGTCCGTCACTGCCTCGCGATCTAGTCCGTCACTCCCTCGCGATCTAGTCCGTCACTCCCTCGCGATCTAGTCCGTCACTCCGTCGCGATCTAGTCCGTCACTGCCTCGTGATCTAGTCCGTCACTCCCTCGCGATCTAGTCCGTCACTCCCTCGCGATCTAGTCCGTCACTCCCTCGCGATCTAGTCCGTCACTCCCTCGCGATCTAGTCCGTCACTCCCTCGCGATCTAGTCCGTCACTCCCTCGCGATCTAGTCCGTCACTGCCTCGCGATCTAGTCCGTCACTCCCTCGCGATCTAGTCCGTCACTCCCTCGCGATCTAGTCCGTCACTCCCTCGCGATCTAGTCCGTCACTCCCTCGCGATCTAGTCCGTCACTCCTTCCTGATCTAGTCCATCACTGCCTCTCCTCGCAGGTGCTGATGTGTCCCGAGCACGAGATGGAGAAGGTGAACATGTACTGTGAGGTGTGCCGGCGTCCCGTGTGTCATCTCTGCAAACTCGGAGGATCTCACGCTAATCACAGAGTCACTTCCATGAGCAGCGCCTACAAGATCCTCAAGGTACGTCCCGTTAAACATCCATCGAACCAACATCGGGTCCGTCTGTCCTTGCTTCCTTGTTTCCTGAGGTGCACTTATAATGTTTTTTACATTAAAAACGGCCTTCAGGGGCTTTTATGTAATTTAATATACGTTTCTACTTTATGGGTAAATGTTTCTAGAGCTGCCACTTATTCTTACTTGTACTTAAAGTCTGTCATAATTTAGAAATAAATGCTAATTTTCCACCCTGATTTTAATCCTCTCATTTGAACAAATACATTTTGAATTAAATAAATGAGAAGGTCTGATTTAAGACACCAGTGTAAACGCCCACTGCTGTGTAGGGGTGTCCCCGACTAAGGATTTTCATAGTCGAATCAGATTCGTCAAGTCCTGCCTATAGTCGACTAATAGTCGAATCATGTGTGGTGTTGGGGAGGGGGCGGGGCTTTAACATTTTAAAGCCGCGATCTACAGAACATCACACAAAGATATAGAAGAAAATGTATAAAAACATTTTGGATCAATAAAACTAAGAAATAACATAAATAACTGCAGAAAGGCCACACTGCAGATAGGATTTGCATTTCACATGCAAATCAAATTAAATCGGCTGAATTGCCTGTACGAGCATGCTCTAAGTAAGCCTACAGCGCAATATCGATGCACTGAAAAATAATCAACAATTAAGAACACAATATACATTTATAATAAATAAAAATACAAAACGAAATAAGTCAGAATCAAGTCACAAGAAGCAGAACAAATGTGTGCAAAATGCCTAAAGTGTAGGGGAACAAATATTCAAAACACAAGTCACAAATAGTTAAATTAGATCACCCTGAGTGATCAATTATTAAAATAAAAATAAAGACATTATTGAAAATAACGAAAGTATGGCCAGGATTGTCAACTTTGTCTTTTTAACTGCAGAAACAACAATAAACGCTAAACTGGAGCGGCAGTCTTTTTAGCTAAACGTGTTCCCAGTATCCAAAAATCAAATTAGAACCGGCTGAAATGTTTTATCACTTGTACCCATACCTGATCGAAAAAACTAAATCCAGTCTTTCACTCGGCCTGTGTCCGTTTGAGTCTTTTCAAATTGTGTGCGCGGATAAAATACATTCTAAAACGCTTAACGTGAAAAAACGCTTAACGGCTTTGTCCTAAAACTGTTATATTAAAAGGTCAAATTCTGTACACACCTTATTAATAAAGCATACTATATAGCCTACAGAAAAGCAGATGAGCCCAGAATATGAACGCAACGCGTTTTATTATAGGCTACGACTACGTTAAGCATTTTCCTCCCATAGAAAACCGTTAAAGAAAAAGCTTTACGTGACTTTCTATCTGAGAAACGCGTTGCGTTCATATTCTGGGTTCATCTGCTTATCTGCACATAGAATGGTTTCTTAAGGTGTGTAGCCTACTGTGTACATACATTAAGCACGTAAAAGTGCCATTTAAGCGTTTTAAAAGCTTTTTTCCCGTTAAGCGTTTTAGAACGTCCCGAGGAAAACCATCCTGTTAACGTTGGCCGGCAGAAGTGCGATCATGGTTTTCCTGATGCTAAATCCAGCCTTGGAGAATATCCTTTCTGATGGTGTGCATCTTTAGATTTTCTTATCCCAGACATTTTTAAAGATTTAAATCCCTGCCGACAAGACGCTCCTCTGTCGGTCACGGATCGAAAGTGAAACTTAAATCTGTCACGGGGTGTTTGGATTTATTCACGCTGCACGCACGTTAAAAAATATTTATTAAAAGCTTCTTTCTTTGCACATTTTTATTGACAGCATTATCATAATAGGCTGCATATTAAGGTATTGACAGAAAACCAGTAGTTCTATGTGAAATCAGACATTGAGCACACTCATATAGCCAAAATGACATAATCCTCGTTTAATAACACATCTGCGAAGATTCGACCGTGAGATTGGTAGTCGAATCAGGCTCCTCCTATCGAAGCATCGAATCTTCGACTATTCGGGGTCACCCCTACTGCTGTGATTGGCTGTGAGACTTCAGTGTAAACGCCCACAGCTGTGATTGGCTGTGAGACTTCAGTGTAAACGCCCACAGCTGTGATTGGCTGTGAGACTTCAGTGTAAATGCCCACTGCTGTGATTGGCTGTGAGACTTCAGTGTAAATGCCCACTGCTGTGATTGGCTGTGAGTCTTCAGTGTAAACGCCCACTGCTGTGATTGGCTGTGAGACTTCAGTGTAAACGCCCACTGCTGTGATTGGTTGTGAGTCTTCAGTGTAAACGCCCACTGCTGTGATTGGCTGTGAGTCTTCAGTGTAAACGCCCACTGCTGTGATTGGCTGTGAGACTTCAGTGTAAATGCCCACTGCTGTGATTGGCTGTGAGTCTTCAGTGTAAACGCCCACTGCTGTGATTGGCTGTGAGACTTCAGTGTAAACGCCCACTGCTGTGATTGGCTGTGAGTCTTCAGTGTAAACGCCCACAGCTGTGATTGGCTGTGAGACTTCAGTGTAAATGCCCACTGCTGTGATTGGCTGTGAGACTTCAGTGTAAATGCCCACTGCTGTGATTGGCTGTGAGTCTTCAGTGTAAACGCCCACTGCTGTGATTGGCTGTGAGACTTCAGTGTAAACGCCCACTGCTGTGATTGGTTGTGAGTCTTCAGTGTAAACGCCCACTGCTGTGATTGGCTGTGAGTCTTCAGTGTAAACGCCCACTGCTGTGATTGGCTGTGAGTCTTCAGTGTAAACGCCCACTGCTGTGATTGGCTGTGAGTCTTCAGTGTAAACGCCCACTGCTGTGATTGGCTGTGAGTCTTCAGTGTAAACGCCCACTGCTGTGATTGGCTGTGAGTCTTCAGTGTAAACGCCCACTGCTGTGATTGGCTGTGAGTCTTCAGTGTAAACGCCCACTGCTGTGATTGGCTGTGAGTCTTCAGTGTAAACGCCCACTGCTGTGATTGGCTGTGAGACTTCAGTGTAAACGCCCACTGCTGTGATTGGTTGTGAGACTTCAGTGTAAACGCCCACTGCTGTGATTGGCTGTGAGTCTTCAGTGTAAACGCCCACTGCTGTGATTGGCTGTGAGTCTTCAGTGTAAACGCCCACTGCTGTGATTGGCTGTGAGACTTCAGTGTAAACGCCCACTGCTGTGATTGGTTAACATCTCTACATGTGGAACTCTTTTGAAAAACTTTACCATGTTTTTACTCTTCCAGCTGTTGAAAAGTGATTATCATTATACACTCACCGGCCACTTTATTAGGTACCCCATGCTAGTAACGGGTTGGACCCCCTTTTGCCTTCAGAACTGCCTCAATTCTTCGTGGCATAGATTCAACAAGGTGCTGGAAGCATTCCTCAGGGAGTTTGGTCCATATTGACATGATGGCATCACACAGTTGCCGCAGATTTGTCGGCTGCACATCCATGATGCGAATCTCCCGTTCCACCACATCCCAAAGATGCTCTATTGGGTTGAGATCTGGTGACTGTGGAGGCCATTTTAGTACAGTGAACTCATTGTCATGTTCAAGAAACCAATTTGAAATGATTAGAGCTTTGTGACATGGTGGAAGTAGCCATCAGAGGATGGGTACATGGTGGCCATAAAGGGATGGACATGGTCAGAAACAATGCTCAGGTAGGCCGTGGCATTTAAACGATGCCCAATTGGCACTAAGGGGCCTAAAGTGTGCCAGGAAAACATCCCCCACACCATTACACCACCACCACCAGCCTGCACAGTGGTAACAAGGCATGATGGTTCCATGTTCTCATTCTGTTTACGCCAAATTCTGACTCTAACATCTGAATGTCTCAACAGAAATCGAGACTCATCAGACCAGGCAACATTTTTCCAGTCTTCAACTGTTCAATTTTGGTGAGCTCTTGCAAATTGTAGCCTCTTTTTCCTATTTGTAGTGGAGATGAGTGGTACCCGGTGGAGTCTTCTGCTGTTGTAGCCCATCCGCCTCAAGGTTGTGCGTGTTGTGGCTTCACAAATGCTTTGCTGCATACCTCGGTTGTAACGAGTGGTTATTTCAGTCACTGTTGCCCTTCTATCAGCTCGAACCAGTCTGGCCATTCTCCTCTGACCTCTGGCATCAACAAGGCATTTCCGCCCACAGAACTGCCGCTCACTGGATGTTTTTTCTTTTTTGGACCATTCTCTGTAAACCCTAGAGATGGTTGTGCGTGAAAATCCCAGTAGATTAGCAGTTTCTGAAATACTCAGACCAGCCCTTCTGGCACCAACAATCATGCCACGTTCAAAGTCACTCAAATCAACTTTCTTCCCCATACTGATGCTCGGTTTGAACTGCTGGAGATTGTCTTGACCATGTCTACATGCCTAAATGCACTGAGTTGCCGCCATGTGATTGGCTGCTTAGAAATTAAGTGTTAACGAGCAGTTGGACAGGTGTACCTAATAAAGTGGCCGGTGAGTGTATATAAACTGGTCATTTTGGGAGCTCGGTTTCAGCTAAAGCTGGACTAACAGAAGTTTTCAGTTCTGAAACATACAGTGTGTTTTTATAGCACAATTCACGACCCCTAAAGTATTGATGTGTCTGCCTGAGCTGAAACAAGCGCTCGTGTTTCTGGTGAATAGGTGTGTCTGCGAGGGCCTGTGATTAAGAGGTCAGAAATATCAGGCGACTGTAAACGAGCCGTGACTCATCCATGTTTAATGTGATCATTTCCATCTTATGATGTTCTGTCCAGCGTCTCACAGAAGTGGGATTATGTTTCCCACACTGGCCGGAAATCGAGTTTTCCACTGTGTTCTAATGGGCTTTACTCTGTCAACAGGAGAAGCTGTCGAAGAGTATCCATTACTTAATTAGCAAAGAAGACCAAGTGAGGACTCAGATTTCTGAACTGGAAGTGATGATCAATCACACAGAGGTAAGAAGCCGGTCTCTGCTTGATCCTGATTGGTTGAGCTTCCGGAAACTTCTCGTTTAGCTGAGCTGATTTATGATCCCTCAATCATGTGACTTACTCATTATTTTTTTATCACTTTGATGTTGCATTTTCCCCAATCACACGCCCCTATCCGTGTATGTGGGTGTGTTTGCACGCTGGTGTCCGGATGGTTGTGTGACGGTGTTCTCGTGACCGCAGGAGAACGGGCAGCTGGCGGAGCGGCGGGCTAACGAACACTTCGAGCGGCTCTTCGAGACGCTGCAGGAGCGCCGGACTGAGATGCTGCGGTGCGTGGAGCAGGCCAGAACCCTGCGAGTGGACCGGCTCCGGGCCCAGGTGGAGGAGTACCAGGGCATGCTGGAGAACAGTGGGCTTGTGGGATACGCTCAGGAGGTGCTGAAGGAGACCGATCAGTCCTGCTTCGTCCAGACGGCCAAACTGCTGCACGTCAGGTGTGTGTGCAGGACTTCTGCTCTCACACACTCGTCTCAGGGTCGTGCTGCTTGTTCTCTGCTGGTGACGTGACGAGCCTCGGGTCCTTCCTTGCCCTTCGCACGTGCCTGTAATCCCCAATCTTTGTCCACCGGCTTGTTTCTAGATTTAAACCACAAGGTTCATTGTACGTTCACTGTAATCCTGATAACTGATCTCTATTAGTCCACTAAGCAGCTTTGGCTTTCACTTTCCCACAAACCCTTAGTCATTATTTCTAGCTGTATAATGTAGCGCAGGGCGCCAGACTAGCTGTGTTTGCTAGGAGCGCTGTGGCCCCTGACTGAACATTATTAGGAGCACGGGCAGAAGCTTTAATTAACCTGTACTGCAGTTATTCACATTTCCCCATTTTGACTATTACTGGCAGATGCCTTGGTAATAAATAGACTTAACATACAGAAATTTCAATGTGCAGTTTCATTTTAAGTTCACAGGGCCCCAGACTAACAATATATATTTTTTATTAGTGTGAGTTTTCCTACATCTTGAAACTTTTAGTTTAATAAATGGGGACGATCTTTGATGGATGAACAAAAAATGTTCATGGTGAATGTTGCTGATTTGTGGACTTTTATAACGTTTCTGCTGGTTTTCTAGTCAGCGCTGTTCGATCTGATATCCACAGTGGCTGGTCCCGATGGACTCAATGTCATTCTTGGTTATTTCTGTATGGCTTTATGCAAAACCAATTGTTTCAAAGCAGCTTCACAGTAATAAATCCTGCTGTTGATTTGCATGATTCTCCTAGAGCAGAGAATGGACAGCATTGTTCCTCTGAGACTCATTTACACAGGGTTATAGTTTTCTCTCTGATAGTAGCAATCTCGTAAGTAAAGAAGTGTCATGAAATCAATTCTGCTGTTGGAAACTCCCTGAAACTGTTGATGCCATTGTAATGTTAATTGGATGTGAATGGCCTTCATTGTGTTTGTTTTTGACAGGATCCAGAAAGCCACCGAGTCCCTGAAGACCTTCCAGGCTTCGGCGACCCCGTCGTTTGAGGAGTTTGTGTTGGACACGTCGAAGGAGGAGATCTTGCTGAAGGAGCTCAGCTTCGGTGGAGGTAACTGAGCCGCTAGAGCTGTTAGCAGAAGCTGTCGCCCTGAGCCGCTAGCGCTGTTAGCAGAAGCCGTCACCCTGAGCCGCTAGCGCTGTTAGCAGAAGCCGTCGCCCTGAGCCGCTAGCGCTGTTAGCAGAAGCCGTCACCCTGAGCCGCTAGCGCTGTTAGCAGAAGCCGTCACCCTGAGCCGCTAGCGCTGTTAGCAGAAGCCGTCACCCTGAGCCGCTAGCGCTGTTAGCAGAAGCCGTCGCCCTGAGCCGCTAGCGCTGTTAGCAGAAGCCATCGCCCTGAGCCGCTAGCGCTGTTAGCAGAAGCAGTCACCCTGAGCCGCTAGCGCTGTTAGCAGAAGCTCTTTAGTGGAGTAAACCCTTAACATGCTTCATGGAGTCACTGAGGCTCTTGTGTAAGATCTGGCCTTTGCTGACATCATGGCAAGCCCAGTTTGAGTGGAACATCCTGAAGCTCATTATAGGGTTAAAGGTGAATGATTGTGTACGGATACACACTCTCCTTGAGCTCAGGTCATTCCTGCTGAGCAAAGGCTCTCCGGGATCGGATGGAGAATCAGCGGATTTATCCCGATTTCCACTGTGCAACTTGTTCCACCGCCTGGAGGATTTTAACACATCCAGGCCTGTTTACTAGCGTGTCTGTTCAGGGCTTCCGCTGAGTGAAGTGCTCTCTTGCTGACCGCAGAAACTGATGCTCTTCTGGAAGCGTATTGATCCGCACTGATGCTCCTGATGCCTGTAATCTTTATCATGGCAGTTGTCTAATGTGATTGGCTGAATCGCTGACGAGGCAAAACGCAGTGATGCTTTTAAATTCTGCTGAACTCAAACGTCTGCAGTGCAACAGACTCTCTCTCTTCCACTCGCTGCTCTCTTCCCTGCGTCTCCTGTTCTCCGTCCGGCTTCATGTGTCCCCCGTGCGGATCAATAGCTTGTTGTTCAGGAGAAGCTGCGGGCGCTGAGCCCGGGCTCTTGGCAGACGGGCCTCGGGTCACGTGTGTCTCGCTCTGGGAAGGTTAAGGTCTTTCTCAGAGGAACAGTAATAGGACTGTGTGACGCTTTAAACCCATTCCCAGCAGCTTTTGTAATGTGACGTCACCATGTCAAGTCTCCTTCATTTATACAGCGCTTTTAACAATATAGATTGTTTCAAAGCAGCTTCACAGTGATAACAGGAGATTACAGTGACAGAGTTTGTTAGGCTTTACAGCAGCTCTAGAATAAAGTTATTGTCCAGCTAAAGTTAGTTTGATTCACTTCCATTGCAAAGATCATTAGATATTAACTTAGGGGCCGCTAACACGACACCGTTCTAACAGAAAACAGAAACTTTTAATGTGTTCTGGCCGTTCATTTGCTCAAACTGTGCATGCAACCGCAGGGCTCCAGACTAGCTGTGTTTGCTAGGAGCGCTGCGGCCCCCGACTGAACATAGGAGCGCTCTGGCCCCCGACTGAACTAGTGCTGCCGCGATTAGTCGACTTAGTCGACGTAATCGACCATGCAAATTAGTCGACGGCAATTTTTTTAGTCGACGTGTCGTTTTACTATTGACCGCTATTTATTTTTGGTCTCCCGTCACAAACGGCTCACTGTAATTCACCTCCACACACCAGTCTGTGCGGCGTGCGCGCCCTGCTGGTTTAACTGCTATCATTTTCCTTCACGTTCCCGCCCGCCTTCACTGCTTTGATATGAAAAATTGCGGAGGCAGGTGACGGAGCTTTCACAGTGGGCTCGTTTGCTGCGGTCTGAGCGCGAGCGCGATTGTTCCCGGCGCCCCCCGCAGCGTTGGTCTGGTTTCACACTTAATTCTATCGAACCCTGTTGAGTTTGCGTGCATCTTATGCCATCGCAAACGTGCACGGCGCATGATAGAAAACAGAACGCGGGTCAATATATTGTGTTTTTCAAACGGACTCTTTTGAGGAGACAGTGGATTTCCAAGTGTTGCCCTGATTGCACGCGCAACGCGCGAATACACTGCAGACTCAACTCTCGCGTATCCAAGGTAAATCATCAACACTATCAGCCCTTACATGTGTTTTATTTAACTAAATGCATCATAATCAGCTAAAACGCATGGGCAGGTTACTTAACTTCCTGAACAAGCGCTCCCGAGTCCGTGTTGCTTTCACATTCACGCGAACCGCGGCACGGGCCCGCCATGCACGCAAGTGTAAACGCGAGCTACATAACTGCGTGCCTGCCTGCTTTCAGCGCGACTCATAGTGGGCTAGTCCAGACTCTTTCAATTCAATTCCAATTTATTTGTATAGCGCTTTTCACAGAAAATGCATTGCATCTACTTTACAATGCAGAGTGATGTTATCAGTTATGATTTTCAGAAATGTACATAAATTAATCATTATTAGCTTACTGTACATTTTTTAAGGCCGAACAAAGAGCTAATTTAAGTAATACATGTTTGTTATTAGAGGATTAGATTGGATTCTGACTAATATGGTATAGCCTAATGGAAATGCAGATAGCCTACTTAATGCTTAGATTGTTAATACATAATGTTTTTGAACAGGTGACATTTTATGTTTTGGCCCTTCAGTTGAGTTCAAAATAAAATGGACACAACGAAATAAACACTTGATTTTTTTTTTAATTAGTCGTTTAGATTAGTCGACTAATCGAAAAATTAGTCGAAAGATTAGTCGTTAGAAAATTAGTCGTTAGTGGCAGCACTAGACTGAACATAGGAGCGCTGTGGCCCCCGACTGAACATAGGAGCGCTCTGGCCGCCGACTGAACATAGGAGCGCTCTGGCCCCCGACTGAACATAGGAGCGCTGTGGCCCCCGACTGAACATAGGAGCGCTGTGGCCCCCGACTGAACATAGGAGCGCTGTGGCCCCCGATTGAACATAGGAGCGCTGTGGCCCCCGACTGAACATAGGAGCGCTGTGGCCCCCGACTGAACATAGGAGCGCTGTGGCCCCCGACTGAACATAGGAGCGCTCTGGCCGCCGACTGAACATAGGAGCGCTGTGGCCCCCGACTGAACATAGGAGCGCTCTGGCCCCCGACTGAACATAGGAGCGCTGTGGCCCCCGACTGAACATAGGAGCGCTCTGGCCGCCGACTGAACATAGGAGCGCTCTGGCCCCCGACTGAACATAGGAGCGCTGTGGCCCCCGACTGAACATAGGAGCGCTGTGGCCCCCGACTGAACATAGGAGCGCTGTGGCCCCCGACTGAACATAGGAGCGCTGTGGCCCCCGACTGAACATAGGAGCGCTCTGGCCCCCGACTGAACATAGGAGCGCTCTGGCCCCCGACTGAACATAGGAGCGCTCTGGCCCCCGACTGAACATAGGAGCGCTGTGGCCCCCGACTGAACATAGGAGCGCTCTGGCCCCCGACTGAACATAGGAGCGCTGTGGCCCCCGACTGAACATAGGAGCGCTCTGGCCCCCGACTGAACATAGGAGCGCTCTGGCCCCCGACTGAACATAGGAGCGCTCTGGCCCCCGACTGAACATAGGAGCGCTGTGGCCCCCGACTGAACATAGGAGCGCTGTGGCCCCCGACTGAACATAGGAGCGCTGTGGCCCCCGACTGAACATAGGAGCGCTCTGGCCGCCGACTGAACATAGGAGCGCTGTGGCCCCCGACTGAACATAGGAGCGCTCTGGCCCCCGACTGAACATAGGAGCGCTGCGGCCCCCGACTGAACATAGGAGCGCAAGCAGAAAATTTAGGGGCACACCTTAAATCAGCTTGCAATGCAATTATTCAAATTTCCCCCAAAATAACTGTAATACTGTCAAATTCTTTAATAATAAATAGACTTAACGTACAGATATTACAATGTGCAGTTTTATTTTAAGTTCACAGGGCTCCAGACTAACATCTGAGGGCAGCAGCACCGAGCCTGTGGTAGATGAAATTAACTTTAATTATTATCATTCATAATGTCTAAATATTACTTAAAAAGCAAAACAAGTGAAAAAAAATTATATTAGGGATTGAAAATGGCCAATAAGCATCCTAATGTTTACAATGGTAATTTAATTTATTTTTTTATAAACACTATTATTTTAGTGTTTAAATAAGAGTTTTCCTACATCTTAACATTTTTAGTTTTAGGACAATCTTTGAAGGATGAACAAAAATGTGTTGGTCATCACATTAAAGTTAGGGTATGGGATTTGCAAAACGGACGGCAAATTTTTAAAATACACAACTCCAAAGGTCCTACCGTCTTTCCTCCAACGCTGGCCCTGACTCCACCATTCAAAGAACATGGACACGCAATCATGCATCTGCAATACTCGGATGCGTGAGATTGCACATCTCTCTCTGTACCGGGGCGACTTGCACTTACTGTGACTGGGTCACGAGCTTTGAGTATGCGCACGAAGGGGACGGTACGACCGTTTGATTGACGCACTTACAGTCCAATGATTCTAGGTGGTCTTGGAAATGATTGGCTGGAGTTTTTCGAGTCCTGCCCGTTCCACAGATGATTAAATTGCTTAATTTTCATGCCAGTGCTACTAACTCAGTGGCTGTAAGGGGGTTAGGTATAGGATTTCCAGTGATTTTGAAAAAATGGTCAAAAAAGAAAATCACATACCCCACCTTTAAAAATAACAATTATATATGATATTAATATAGTTTTGAAGTGCTGGAAAAAGATGTGTAGTACTTGTAAGTGTTTCAATACTGTAGTTATGGTTAGAGTTACTACATTAGCCTAAACCCATGGTGAGTGTTGCTGATCTGTGGACTGAAGGCCTTCTATAAGTGTTTCTCCTGGTTTCCATGTCAGCGCTGTTTGATCTGATATCTGGTTTATAACCGAGAACTCTGCGCCGAATCTGCATGTTTCTCACTGGATCTCTCAGCGATGAGGTTGTTAATTCTGAGGCGAATTCAATGGATTTCTTCACTGGACCTCCTAGTAACAGTGTTGCGTGATCGAGATCAGCCTGCGACTGGCAAGATCGGGGCGCTGTCTATTATTGGTCCGAACTAATAAACGGTCCGTGAAGCATAAATGAGTAGCGCATTTTCGTTTCGCTGTCAGTTTGTTTGCATTCGCTGCTCGGCAACGTTGTGGTCGCTCACTAACCTAAATAAATATTTGGTTGCATCGGCAGGAAAAATGGTCGCAGTCTGGAGCCCTGAACCATTCACCCTTTACACTTCTTCTGTTGCATGTTTTGTAAAATAAATATAATCATCGTAAGGTCCATTGCTTGCTAGTTTCTGAAAAATGTATTTGTGAGCTGTGTGTGTTTAGAGGGAGACAGACTGTTTATTATCTGTATATTATTTTTCCTGCCAACACAACTTTCTATTCTGCTGTCCTCTCAAAAAAAACTAACAAATGCTTGGTGTGTTTTTTTTAAAGCTGCTTTTATAGAAGCCGCCTCGACTCCTGTTCTGGTAGACATGACAAACAGTGACAGAAACACGTGTTCATGCGGCTTGTTTATTCCAGCAGTTTCACCACATTCACAGATCGTCCTGAATTCTCCATGGGGACCCTTGGCCAAACATGAGCGTACCGGGCCTCGGGGACGCCGTGTAATTTGAGATATTTGCGGAAAACCAAAATCGCATTCATTCGTTCTGGTCGAGACCCATGTCTCCGAGGGGACTTCCAGGACTGCGGGGTGATCTGATCGTGCCCGAGAAAGGTGAACCTTCCCCAGCTTGCGTTCAGAGCCTCTGGGATCCTGGAAGTCCCGACTCACTGCAGGTTTTAGACTTGGAGAAATTTTCAAACCAGAAAAAGGGCCCCAACTTTGAACGGCTATAACTCTGGGACCCAGCCGCCTAGAGACCCCAAACTCGGGTCAAAGTAGGGTCTCGGTGGCCCCCTTCCAACGAGCCCGGCCCAGAGCTCCGGGTCTCCGGACTCCACCTTCCTCCAGAGTGCCGTCTGTGCCGCCTGTTTTCCGTTACCTTGTCCGAGCGGAGCGTAGTCCCCTCCTCGACAACACCCAGAGGGTCCGATTTTGGACCGTCGTTGCTCCGTCAGGCCGGCGAATTTGTCTGTGCCCGAACCCGAGGCACTCTCCCCGGTTCATGCGGCTTGTTCTCTTGTGTTTATTCCAGCAGTTTCTCCTGAATCTCCAGCTGATGTTTGAGTAAATCACGTGTGAGACGTTGATCTGAGATGCTGGTGTGTGTTTCCTCAGTCCCGGACCCTCCCGTGATCGATCTCTCTCGCTGCCGCGTGTACAACGAGGGCCTGATCCACTGGCGTCTGGCTGAGGACTCCCTGCCCACGGATCGCCATGTGCTGGAGTTCAGGAGGGTGTGTGAGGAGGAGCAGGAGGATGAAGAGTCGCGCTGGAGGGCCACGGAGTGTGTGTACGGCAGTAACACTGTGGTGTCGGATCTGGCCCTCGACTCCCGTTACTCCTTCAGAGTGAAGAGCTTCCGTAACAGTGTGTGCAGTCCCTACAGTCCTGCGGTGACCTTCCACACGCCCCCGGCTCCAGGTGACACACACACACACACACACACACACACACCTGCGGTGACCTTCCACACGCCCCCGGCTCCAGGTGACACACACACACACCTGCGGTGACCTTCCACACGCCCCCGGCTCCAGGTGACACACACACACACCTGCGGTGACCTTCCACACGCCCCCGGCTCCAGGTGACACACACACACACCTGCGGTGACCTTCCACACGCCCCCGGCTCCAGGTGACACACACACACACCTGCGGTGACCTTCCACACGCCCCCGGCTCCGGGTGACACACTCACACACACACACTCTCTCACACACACACACACCTGCGGTGATCTTCCACACGCCCCCGGCTCCAGGTGACACACTCACACACACACCTGTGGTGACCTTCCACACGCCCCCGGCTCCAGGTGACACACTCACTCACTCACTCACTCACACACACACACACACATTCATGATTCCTTCACCCTGCTGATGTTGATTAAATCTGTGTATGAAAGGCTAAATTAGTCAAATAGCCATTGATTGTGTGTGTGTGTGTGTGTGTGTGCTCCTCAGTGTTCGGGTTCCTGTTTAATGAGAAGTGTGTGTGTTTGTGCTCCTCAGTGTTCGGGTTCCTGTTTAATGAGAAGTGTGTGTGTGTGTGTGTGTGTGTGTGTGCTCCTCAGTGTTCGGGTTCCTGTTTAATGAGAAGTGTGTGTGTGTGTGCTCTTCAGTGTTCAGGTTCCTGTTTAATGAGAAGTGTGTGTGTGTGTGTGTGTGTGTGTGCTCCTCAGTGTTCGGGTTCCTGTTTAATGAGAAGTGTGTGTGTGTGTGCTCCTCAGTGTTCGGGTTCCTGTTTAATGAGAAGTGTGTGTGTGTGCTCTTCAGTGTTCAGGTTCCTGTTTAATGAGAAGTGTGTGTGTGTGCTCCTCAGTGTTCGGGTTCCTGTTTAATGAGAAGTGTGTGTGTGCTCCTCAGTGTTCGGGTTCCTGTTTAACGAGAAGTGTGTGTGTGTGCTCTTCAGTGTTCAGGTTCCTGTTTAATGAGAAGTGTGTGTGTGTGCTCCTCAGTGTTCGGGTTCCTGTTTAATGAGAAGTGTGTGTGTGCTCCTCAGTGTTCGGGTTCCTGTTTAACGAGAAGTGTGTGTGCTCTTCAGTGTTCGGGTTCCTGTTTAATGAGAAGTGTGTGTGTGCTCCTCAGTGTTCGGGTTCATGTTTAATGAGAAGTGTGTGTGTGTGTGTGTGCTCCTCAGTGTTCGGGTTCCTGTTTAACGAGAAGTGTGGCTTCAGTGCGGAGCGGCTCACGCTGAGCAAGCGCCGGGACTCGGTGGAGAGCGTCGCGGGCCTGAGCTTCCTCTTGTGTGCGGAGCGGGTCCAGACCGGGAGTTATATATGCCTGGACTACATCATCGGGGACACGGGCATCTCTCACGGACGCCATTACTGGGCCTTCCGTGTGGATCCCGACTCCTACATGGTGAAGGTGGGAGTGGCGTCCGACTGCAAGCTCTCCGAGTGGTTCCACAACCCTCGAGACTCCAGCAGCCCGAGGTGAGACTCCCCCAGCGAACACTTCTGTCCAGCGAGGCTTTCAGATCATCCATCTCAAACACGCCAGGGCTGCGTTTCCCGTACAGCGCCGTAACTCGCTGCTAACCCTAACCCATCTCAAACACGCCAGGGCTGCGTTTCCCGTACAGCGCCGTAACTCGCTGCTAACCCTAACCCATCTCAAACACGCCAGGGCTGCGTTTCCCGTGCATCGCCGTAACTCGCTGCTAACCCTAACCCATCTCAAACACGCCAGGGCTGCGTTTCCCGTACAGCGTCGTAACTCGCTGCTAACCCTAACCCATCTCAGACACGCCAGGGCTGCGTTTCCCGTACAGCGCCGTAACTCGCTGCTAACCCTAACCCATCTCAGACACGCCAGGGCTGCGTTTCCCATACAGCGCCGTAACTCGCTGCTAACCCTAACCCATCTCAAACACGCCAGGGCTGCGTTTCCCGTACAGCGTCGTAACTCGCTGCTAACCCTAACCCATCTCAGACACGCCAGGGCTGCGTTTCCCATACAGCGCCGTAACTCGCTGCTAACCCTAACCCATCTCAAACACGCCAGAGCTGCGTTTCCCGTACAGCGCCGTAACTCGCTGCTAACCCTAACCCATCTCAAACACGCCAGGGCTGCGTTTCCCGTACAGCGCCGTAACTCGCTGCTAACCCTAACCCATCTCAAACACGCCAGGGCTGCGTTTCCCGTACAGCGTCGTAACTCGCTGCTAACCCTAACCCATCTCAAACACGCCAGGGCTGCGTTTCCCGTACAGCGTCGTAACTCGCTGCTAACCCTAACCCATCTCAAACACGCCAGAGCTGCGTTTCCCGTGCATCGCCGTAACTCGCTGCTAACCCTAACCCATCTCAAACACGCCAGGGCTGCGTTTCCCGTACAGCGTCGTAACTCGCTGCTAACCCTAACCCATCTCAAACACGCCAGAGCTGCGTTTCCCGTACAGCGCCGTAACTCGCTGCTAACCCTAACCCATCTCAAACACGCCAGGGCTGCGTTTCCCGTACAGCGTCGTAACTCGCTGCTAACCCTAACCCATCTCAAACACGCCAGGGCTGCGTTTCCCGTACAGTGCCGTAACTCGCTGCTAACCCTAACCCATCTCAAACACGTCGGCCAGATCTAATTAACGCTAGATGTTTTGCTATAATTATGCAAATGGCATCTGTGGACTATTTCTCTTTTTTTCTCAGTTATTTTGCTTTATTTCCAGATTCAATCATTGGCTCGTTCTTGCGCACTAGAGCTCGTTCACACATGCGCACTTCAAAAACTACGCTTTAAATATCTTGACAAACTAAAAGACGTTGTAAGGGGATTTACCAGAAATGATTAATTAATACAAGAGTCAGAATTATAATAAAATAAAGAGGTTTTACTGAAGGTAGTTTGCAGTTTCATCAGCAGAAGTTCAGCTTCGAGATTCACAGGAGTTCGTAGGCCGTAACGCCGCTTAGGTCTATGCTACGCTACACTACGTCCCTGCTTCAGGATGGATGATTCTCATTGGCTAAGATCAGGGTTTGAGTCCACATGTTATGCAAACTAGAAACTCTGCTTGTTCCGAACTGTGCGATGCTGTTTGCGAATGTTTGTTAGAACGATGGTTTCGGGAAACACAGACTCGTTGAACTGCTGATAACGACAGAACTTGCGACCATAGTTGGCTAACGAAGCTTTTGGGAAACGCACCCCAGGGCTGTATCATGACATCATTCTCATGATCACTGAATCTGTGTGTGCGGTGAGACGCTACAGGCAGGGTTCTAAATTAACTTTTTTGATCACCAGCCAATGTGGCTGGTAACTTTCTAAAGTTACCAGCCATTTAGAATTTCCACCAGCCAAATTTTTCCCGGTGAAAATAAGAGAAATTATGAGTGCCACTGAATGCATTAGATCATTTTATTAACATTGGCATGAAAAACACATATAAAGTAGCCTACAATACAACACAGAAAGTGCAAACATTTCATTTCAAGTTTGGGATCTATCTATCTATCTATCTATTAGGGATGTGCACGAATATTTGAATTTTCGATCTGTAATTATTATTCAAAAAATAAAATACTATTCGAATGGTTTTTCGCAGTTATAATTAAATGCACTGGGTGGAGCGTTTGGATTGTATTTGATCACATAATGTCGTTGTCTGCCTCGCGAAGTTTGGAATTACTTAGATGAAAATGATAGCCTATTACAAAATGGAATTACGTTTAATCAATTATTAATTAAACTGAGTTATCATAATATCACCACCACAATTAGAAATCACATGAAATCCAAAGAAACAGCAGTCGACTGAGGAGGAAGCAGCTGTCCATCACTGTATTAAGGACTGCCGGTCAGCAGCTGTACCCCGAGGGAATCATGATCCGAGATGATATCTTTTGGTAGCAAAATGATTTTGAGACATATGCTTCCTTTAAGTTTCGTTGAGGGAGACAGGTTTAAGAACAGAAAAACGCATGCTGTTACTTCACTTTGCACACACACACGTGTCTCTGCAACGTCTGTGTCAGCGCAGCGCGTTTTCTCACTCGAGCATGTGGATATTATTGTTTTTCTCAACATGAACGTGAAACAATATAAACACGTTAATCATATGCTGACTCGAGTATGTACGTTCTGTACGATAACTGCGCAGTCTGCTTTTCTTTTTTTTTTCTTTTTTTTTTGCGTTTTTTCCCCGTTTGCGCTGCTTGAGCTTAAATGCTTTTGTTGTTCATATTTTTTTGTTTACACATATTGTTTAATGTTTTCAACTAAAAGAAAACCTTAAGATATATAGTAAGCTTGTTGTGTATATTGCCTAATGTATACGCTTGTTCAGAAATAATGACAAAAACCTTAAACTTAAAAAAATAACGTATCTCTCGTTAAACGACATTTAAATTTAAACCCAGAAGTCTGTCCCAACCACCGCCGCATTTAGTTTAATCTTAACTTTTTACTTTACTAGCTCCCTCCTCTTTCAGTCTATGCTCCCTGCTCTGGCTCGTTCTTCATCTTACTTGTTTTTTCTGGTGGACGGACGCGTAGGCTACGCTCCGTTCGTTTCCAATTTCCATGATCATTTCTTGCGCTGGTTTCACTGCAAACTGCGCAGCCAATGGGCGTATGAAACGTCATCACGTAGCATTACGGCACAGTGTTCATGGGACATGTAGGAAGTACTGCCAGGGGGATAAATGACCGAGAACAGAGCCTTATGCATCACCGGCCAAACTGGCTAGTAAGTTTTTATTAACACCCGCCAAAATGAATTTTAACCCGCATTTGGCGGGTGTTAATTTAGAACCCTGGCTACAGGGCTGTTCACACCTGCGATGATCACTATAAAGACCATCAGGTTTGGATACTCATTCTCCTTCTCTGAGAATAGCTAGTTTTTACAGCTGATGAACGATAAAAACATTGACAGCCAATCAGAATCATCCTGCTTTTAAAGCGACAGACGACAAACCTTGTAGCTGGTGTGCCGCTGATATAGTTCTCGTTCTTGGTGCGAACAGGCCTTTACACACCATCAGTTTTACATTAATTTTGTGTTTGTTGAATAACCAAAGCTGTTTCTGATTAATATTTCTCCTGGATTTCAGTCTCAGTTTGTGAGGTTTGTCCCACAGGTATGACCAGGACAGCGGGCACGACAGCGGCAGCGAGGACGCGTGCTTCGAGGCGTCTCAGCCCTTCACACTGCTGACGGTGGGCATGGGTCGACTCTTCATCCCGAAGGCCTCGCTCGGCGCCGGGGACATGGGCCGGGTTCTGCCCGCGCCGCAGCGGATCGGGGTCCTCCTGGACTACGACGCCGGCCGCGTGTTCTTCTACGACGCCGACAGCATGCGCTGCCTGTACGAGAGGGCGGTGGACTGCTCCGGCACCATGTTCCCTGCGTTCGGGCTCCTGGGCGGCGGCTCGGTCCATCTGGAGGAGTTCCTCACAGCCAAGCGCCTGTCCTACATGTGAGGGTCCGGTCCGGGACCCGGCGGACTGGTGTCTGTTAGTCCTGTTGCTCTGTGTAGTGCTCCTCGTCCCTCAGTAACCGTACATCATGGGTCGCTGTGCAATTATACAAGTGAATCTGGTCGAAGAGCCAATCCGATCTCGAGTGCCTTCAGTGACATCAGCCGAGCGGACGTTTCACACACACCATCAGGTTTCACGCAGCGCACCTTAATACACCGAATATAATGCAAAGACTCACAATGTCACTTTCTGAACAGTGTGCACTGATACTGTTGATCACTGACCGTCGTTTACACACAGTTAAGGGAGCTTTAGGTCAAGAATGACAAGCGATATGATTTGAACACAAGAATTCACTACTGAACACATGATTGTGCACTATTTGTTTTTATTGTAGCAGCACCTGCAAATTTAGAAATGTTTAAAAGTAAATAAACACATCAGTCTGTCCTAGAACATCATGTAGATATGATGTGCGCTATAGTTTTTGTAATCGGGAGTGAAACGCATGAAACACCTTTATATAAATGTAGCCTGTGAATCAAACCGGTGCTGATCAAGCGGAACCCAAATGTGATTCTACGAGACAGACTTGAACACCTCACATGTACTTACTGTATGCACTATAATTGCCAAGGCAAGTGTCTTGACTGGACTAATATGGCCTTATTGAATAATCGCGGCTCGTGGTTCATTAGGCAGATTACTGGCTATAAAGGCTTCATTAAGCAGATTACTGGCTCTGAAGGGATTGGACCGACTCCTGCTGGGATATCCGAGTGATTCTGCTGGCTCTTCTACCTCTGACTGGAGTTTGTTCTGGTAGTTTATGTAGTTGTGCTGCACAAGTCTTGTGATTTTATTCGTATTCTTCTGAAGAGGAACCGCCAGTTTACGGAGGAAAACATGTTGGAGAGTTTTAGCGACGTCGTACTACCCGATTAGTGTGTTATATATGGATCACGTCCCTCTTTATCCTTGTCAGTAAAATCTCATGCTAATCAATTAATCAATGAGCGCATATAAGGAGACTCGTCTTCTGAACACTTTAGACGGTTAGATTGAGCTTTTACATGTTTGTGATCATTTTAATAAGTGTATGTATAAAATCAGTGGTTTTTGGAGAAGGACTCGTGTGCCGTGTGTGTGATTGATCTTTTATGAGTTCCACCAATTCCCTTTTTTGTTGTTGTTGCTAAATCTATATAATTTCGTTATCACGTTTTCACACGCTCACCATCAGAACGGTTTATTTTGTTGATGAGGAGTTTATGCACCTGTACACTTGTTCCAGGTGTGTGTCGAGTCACAGAACGTGTGTGTGTGTGTGTGTTTTGGAAGCCTGTAACCAAATGTTTTGCTAGTTTCTTGTACATGTTAAACAGGGTCTGTAATTGTTGCGGTACTGAGCTTGGGAATCCTGCTGAAGTTCTCCAGTTAGCACTTTAAAGCATGTCAGCCACTGAGCTCGATGCAATATCATGTGGAACAGAAAGGTGGCGCTGTACGTACGTCTGTCTCTGTCACCTGCATCTGCGTGCTTTTATTTTTAATGTACTGTGGGCTTTTGTATTAAATAAATGAATGTCCTTTTAAGATCTGTATCAGTCCTGTTGTTTCCTTCACCCCAAAGAGATATTTAAATATCAGAATTAGAAATGCTGTGAGTGAGCAACATGTTATGTATATTTCATCACTGTGCCTGATGAATATAGTATGATGATGAAAAAAATAAATACATGAAAATCTACAGTGCCCGAGGCTGTTGAAGGAATAAAAAAAGTTAGGTTTGAAGAGACACAAGTGCAAATAAGATGAGAAATAAGATGAGAATTTTTTAGTTGGCTTCATTTTGTCTCGCAAAGCTAGCATTGCATAAAAGTATCTGTTAAGCAAAGGTAAAGATCTTGAGTAATGTAAAAGTTACAAGTCAAGTCGCATTCTTTACATTAGGGATGACAATAAGATGAATCAGTTCTTCATCCTTCTGCTGCGGATCACGCGAGACGGAGACATCACTGTTCCCCTCTGCAACTATTATATACTGGAACTATTATATACTGGAACTATTATATATACTGGAACTATTATATACTGGAACTATATATACTATTATATATACTGGAACTATTATATACTGGAACTATATATACTATTATATATACTGGAACTATTATATACTGGAACTATATATACTATTATATATACTGGAACTATATACTATTATATATACTGGAACTATTATATACTGGAACTATATATACTATTATATATACTGGAACTATATACTATTATATATACTGGAACTATATATACTATTATATATACTGGAACTATATATACTATTATATATACTGGAACTATATATACAATTATATATACTGGAACTATATATACTATTATATATACTGGAACTATTATATACTGGAACTATATATACTATTATATATACTGGAACTATATACTATTATATATACTGGAACTATATATACTATTATATATACTGGAACTATATATACTATTATATATACTGGAACTATATATACAATTATATATACTGGAACTATATATACAATTATATATACTGGAACTATTATATACTGGAACTATATATACTATTATATATACTGGAACTATTATATACTGGAACTATATATACTATTATATATACTGGAACTATTATATACTGGAACTATATATACTATTATATATACTGGAACTATATACTATTATATATACTGGAACTATATATACTGGAACTATATATACTATTATATATACTGGAACTATATACTATTATATATACTGGAACTATATATACTATTATATATACTGGAACTATATACTATTATATATACTGGAACTATTATATATACTGGAACTATTATATACTGGAACTATATATACTATTATATATACTGGAACTATTATATACTGGAACTATATATACTATTATATATACTGGAACTATTATATACTGGAACTATATATACTATTATATATACTGGAACTATATACTATTATATATACTGGAACTATATATACTGGAACTATATATACTATTATATATACTGGAACTATATATACAATTATATATACTGTAACTATTATATACTGGAACTATATATACTATTATATATACTGGAACTATTATATACTGGAACTATATATACTATTATATATACTGGAACTATTATATACTGGAACTATATATACTATTATATATACTGGAACTATATACTATTATATATACTGGAACTATATATACTATTATATATACTGGAACTATATATACTATTATATATACTGGAACTATATATATACTATTATATATACTGGAACTATTATATACTGGAACTATATATACTATTATATATACTGGAACTATATATACTATTATATATACTGGAACTATTATATACTGGAACTATATATACTATTATATATACTGGAACTATATACTATTATATATACTGGAACTATATATACTATTATATATACTGGAACTATATATACTATTATATATACTGGAACTATATATACTATTATATATACTGGAACTATTATATACTGGAACTATATATACTATTATATATACTGGAACTATTATATACTGGAACTATATATACTATTATATATACTGGAACTATTATATACTGGAACTATATACTATTATATATACTGGAACTATTATATATATATATACTGGAACTATTTTATATATGTATATATATATATACTGGAACTATTATATACTGGAACTATATATACTGGAACTATTATATATATACTGGAACTATTTTATATATATATACTGGAACTATTATATATATATATATATATATATATATACTGGAACTATATATACTGGAACTATTATATATATACTGGAACTATTTTATATATATATACTGGAACTATTATATATATATATATATACTGGAACTATTATATATACTGAAGACAGTGTTTTTACAGGTGGAGCGCCTGTTTACCCGCGCCACACGCCGGCGCCAGAGCGGTTTAGCAGGAGCACAGCGCGAGTTTCTGCGGCCGCTCAACTGTTACATCGTATCATTTCATTTTGCCTACAAAACAAAGTGATTCCTATTATTAAGCAAAATAAGTATTTTGATGTTGCACTAGACCAAAGACGCACATCAGCACTAGCTCAAACTAAATACCCAATATAAAAAACTATTTAAATCACGATTAATATAAGACGGCGTTATAAACAAACTAATAGTCACACCAAGCTGCTAGAAGCGCTGGAGTCTGCGATGCTTGCTGTTCATGCTTGCATTCATCCAGACATTTTCTTGTCAAGTCCCTTTCCAATGCCTGTTGCGCTAACTGTGCCTTTCGCTGATGTAGCGTATGCTCCTCGATGTCCATGAACACGTCTCCGTGTAGAAGAGCTCCAAATGTGCTCTTCTCCCCACTTGAAACCAATCCACAGTTCTTTACGCAGGGCCACAACTAATTCTGAATGAACCACTTCAGGATAAGTTAAGTTCAGCATGTGTTGAATGAGTTGCGCATCCAAGAAAGTGCTGTCATTCTGTGGATCAAAAGCTGAAAGTGCTTCAAGGAACTAGCTGTTTCTTTCCCCCGAAGCGCTCAGAGATTCTGCTGAATCATCGAAGCTCCTCTTCCTTCCCTGCTTCGACTGCTGGAAGATGTCCTGCCCACCGCTGTTCGAGTCTCGAAGCTGCTGACACCGCACAGGACAGAGACGGTGGCTGTAAAGGAGTGTATAAAGCAAGTTACACACACTAAAGAAGTCTTCGTGGATGTTGCTTGAACGACCACAAGATGGAGCTGATGATTGAAGCAATGCAAGTACGTCATATGGAATCACTCTTCCTAACCTGTCCTACAAAGTGTTCTGTCCTCCTCTGTTTCTCCCAGGGAGAAGGGAGTTCCCATCATGCACCTGGCTCAATATTTCAGAAGTACTGAGCCCCGTCTTTAAAAAAAGCTCTGCAATTATTTGGTTGGTCAGGGTTTGAGCATCCCGTTTTTCAGTAGTCGTCTTGGAAAGAAGTCGCTCTGAGTTGATAATTGCCCTTAAAGCGAACGATGATGGAAATATTTTCCATTCCGGTTGGGTCACGTTAGGGTCACATCATCATCCACTGAGTCTGCAACTTCTCAAAGAACTTCTTCAGTCACCAGACTGCTCATGTTTGCAATGACGCCATTTTGAATATGGCGAGAAGAGTACGTTGCACTGCCTGGTGTTGTGTGTACAACACTCCTAAGCTCTGGGACTTTGCGGAGGGTAACTTTAAATAATGAAAAGAAAGTCCACTCACACAGTTAGACTCTCGAATGCTTTGCTTCCCCTGATTCAGCTCATGTCCACTATAGAGGAGAGAGTAGCGATTCCTAGCTAACTGGTTACTGTAAACCAGGGAGGAAATTTCCCGTCCACTTTCAGTCTGTTTTCTCTCTTCCAGAGCTGGTCATGTTCTTTTGACGCTGCATGTTTAAGGCCTTTTCCCGCCTCTACTGCGTTCTTCCAATCACTGAAGCTCCTTACAGTGAAAGCTGATGATGATGAAATTAAGGACTTTCAGCATGAAAAACAATCTTCTTCCACGGTAGCAAATGGTTAAATGCGAAGAGGGAAATGTCTTGGTTTATCCTCCGCAAGGGTCGAGAGGCGCTCCGGGCCGAGGATCGTGTGTGTCGGCCGAGTTTCATCTGCCAAACTACGGGATCCACTTGTCATATATTTTCAGATATACATTTTTATATTCCCTTAGTCTTAATCGATCATTCTATCTAGCCATCACTGATTGATTGATTGATTGATTTTATTTGACCACTTAAATATAAAAACAGATGGCAGCAAATCACACATCAATCATTCATCATACATTAATCAAATTCATCCATATTATACAGAAAAATTGACCATAAAAATAGACTATGATATGATAATGACTACGATTGGCACCTAAGCCATACTTTCAAACCCTGTTTAAAACTGCCTATGCTTCTGTCTTGAGTGCACCAGCTAACCGGTTCCAAAGGGGAGCATAAAGAAAAGACTGTTTGCCCAGATTAGTATTCAATCTGGGGGTACAAAATCTGTTGAGCTACCCCTAGTGGAGTACCTGTA